AACTTTTTTTTCAAATCTATTATGAATGATTAACTTTTGGGAAAATAAAATAAAAAATAAAAAAGCATTGAAAAGAATGTTAAAATTCATTTAAGAAGGCACTCTTATAAAACTTTCTATTTAATTTTGGTGAAAAACTAAATCTTTCAACGACTGGTAAATTGAAAATTTGTAAAAAAAAAAGCACTAAGAAAAAAATCAGATTCTCAACTCTTGCAGATATTCAACATTTTTTTTTCAAATCTACTCGTAGCTTTTGAATTATTATCTTTTGGAAAATTCCCAAAAAACAGCATTGAATCAATTTAATTTTGGCGAAAAAACAAACACTGAAGAAGACACAATTACACAGAAGACAAACACTCTAAGTGAGTAGAAATACTTTGAATATAAAAAATATATTTTGCATTGTATAAATTCACTTTTTCACATCCAAAATGTAACTGTAATATGTAAACAATGTTTGTAAATCCCAGGCCCTGAAGATGATCTCAATAAAGATCGAAACGTTGGCACGACAAAGAAAATGTTTTTCTGAAACCTACATCACACCAGACCGCATCTCACGATTTTTAAATAAACACTAAATCTTTGAACATCTGCTAAATTGAAAATTTGCAAAAAAAATTCAACGTAATTTTTCTGCTTTCTTTGTTCACTATGTTTATTGTTGTTTTGATGTGTTTTGTTTGATTTGTACGTAGAATTTTTCTCTTTTTTGTGCTTTTTTATTAAGTTAGGTTTTACAACTTCGGTATTGTTTTTTGTATTGTCTGTGTTTAGTGTGGATATTGTCCAATTTTTGCAGATATTCAACTTTTTTTTCAAATCTAATCGTAGCTTTTGAATGATTAACTTTTGGGAAAATAAAAAAAAGCATTGAAAAGAATGTTAAATTTCATTTAAGAAGGCACTCTTATAAAACTTTCAATTTACTTTTGGTGACAAACCAACACCAAATCTTTTAACAACTGCTAAATAGAAAATTTGTGAAAAAAAACCAACTAAAAAGCACAAAAAAAGAAAAATTCAACGTAATTTTCCTGCTTTCGTTGTTCACTACGTTTGGTGTCGCTTTTGTATGTGTTTTGATTGATTTTTACGTTGTATTTTTCTTTGTTTTTTGTGCTTTTTTATTAAATTAAAATTGGGTTTTACAACTTCGATATTGTTGTCATTATTTTTCGTTTGTCTGTGCTCAGTGTAGATATTTTGCCCGTTTTTCAGCTTTGGTTTTTTCAACATTTTATGTTTTTTCAACTATCTACGGTTGTAGCTCTTGAATTTTTCATTTTTGGGGAAATCCAAAAAAGCAATGAAAAGCGCTTTAAAATTCTTTCATGGCGGTACTCTTCTAGAACTTTGAATTTAATTTTTGTTAAAAAAACAAACACCAAATCTTTCAACAACTGCTAAATTTAAAATTTGTAAAAAAAAACTAAATTTGCAACTTCATTCGAAAAGCCTCGATAGAGCTTGCCAAATTCATAACATCTTCGTTTAATAAGCTTTATAGCGGTATGCCCTTTTCTTTAATTTCATCGAACCAAAATGCAGAAATTCTATGCTAAATGGGATAAAAGTGGTGACTGTGGGAAAAAAGGGGTGTGGGTAATATAGTAATTTAACTTTTTGTCCTGAGCAGAATATTTCCCAACTTAAGAAAAAAGCATAAAAAGAAAGACAAATAAATTAAAACGCATAAACAAGAGAAAATAAACTTAGCGAACAACCAAAGCAGAAAAATTGGGCAAAATATTTACACTATACACAGACAATAGAAAAACAATACTGAAGTAGTAAAACCTAACTTTAACTTAATAAAAAAGCACAAAAAAGAGAAAATTCTACATACAAATCAAACAAAACACATCAAAACGACAAAAAACAGTGAAAAAAGAACGCAGAAAAATTACGTTGAATTTTTCTTTTTTTGTGCTTTTTAGTTGGTTTTTTTTTAACAAATTTTCTATTTAGCAGTTGTTCGATTTAGTATTTGTTTTTTCACCAAAAATAAATTGATAGTTTTGTAAGAGTGCCTTTTTAAAAGAAATTTAACATTCTTTTCAATGCTTTTTTTTAATTTTCCCAAAAGTTAATAATTCAAAAGCTTCGAGTAGATTTGAAAAAAAAGTTGAATATCTGCAAAAGATTTTTAGTTGAGACAAAAACGTCAGTGTCATGAGCGGGATTCGAACCCACGACCTTCGGCTAAATACGCCGCAAAACGAAGGGAAAATTCAAAAGGTGGGGTTGAGATGGGAAGTTCGTGCACGAGTGGATCGAAGTCACGATAGCTCAAGTGGTAGAGTAGCGGCGTATTTAGCCGAAGGTCGTGGGTTCGAATCCCGCTTGTGACACTGACTTTTTATTTCAACTAAAAACCTTAATTAATTGAAAGCTATTAATGGTCAAGCGGAACACGAAAACTAGTGAATCTGCAAAAGAGTTGAGAATCGGGCCATGGTTCGTACGAACTTTTCTGTTGCATTTGAAGTGTAGAAACATCTGAGGAAATTTGTCATACGAATAGCGAAATCACCCTATATACACAAAAGTGGTTAAATTTAGATTTCACCCACTGGTGTCATTATTAGTCTATTAAAGTTCGAAAAATGAAGTCTAGGAAGCAAGTTTTTAGGGCTGTTCTCTCACTCNTCTCTCTCTCTCTCTCACCCACCCCGTTTATATAATGGTACTATTTACTGGCCTACTATTTTCCATCTGCGAGTGTTGCTATAGATGTGTTTTCTGTTTGTATAAAGCAGATACAGAAGTGGTCCTAGAACTTTCCCATGGGGAACGCCAGGCTTTATAACTAAACATATGAAGTACTCGTCCTCGTGCTTTACTCGGAATAATCTCTATGGTAGGTAGGTGGAGAGAAGTTGTACACACAGGGATGGATTTTATTTTTTTAACTTGATCAATTGCTAAGTGATTTTTACAATAAATTACCGAATATGTTGTCCCCATGTAATAAAAGTTGGTTTTTCAAGCTTAGGTGAACCTTATTTTATTTTCAACCTTATTTTCACCCCATTGAGAGATGATTCTGTTAATCTCTGTTCACTGTGTAACTCCTGAGCAAGGGAAGACCTTTTTCATTTTCTGGCTGAGTGTTCCATCCATGCTGATTTACAGATTCTCTTATTGGGCAATAACAGAATTTCGAGAGTCTTTCTCATAGAAAAGCTCAACTCTGCAAACTGTATACCTGATTGGTTTTAGTAAGAGTTCACTTGGGTACCGCAGAGAGCTCGTGGAACAATTTAATAATTAATTTATTTAAATTTTAGTTTTATATTAAGGAGCCCTAGGAGTGTCGTTTTACGTACTGCAGACACCAAGATTTAATTGTCTCTTTTTTATTTTAGTTGTATTTTATTTATCTTAGTATTATTTTGATTTTTTGTATGTACATATCCTTGTAGATACCAACCCCAGATGTTGGCATTCTGGGGTCAGACCTCGGTCTTATCCGTCCAACCACCGAGGTTAGGTTCCAGGGGCTATCAACAGCTAGGTCATGCCGTGTTGGCAAACTTCAGTTTATAACTCACTAATCAGAAAATACTTGAATCATTTTTGGTCATTGGATATGCATTAAGACCTCAATTCGAATTATAATCCCGATTTCAGAAGGATTAACAATCTGAGCCTTGACGACACTTCCTGCATTTGCGGACGTGGGTAGATAAGTTGAGATTATTCAGCCAGATTAGAATATGCAACATAAATAATACATTTAAATTGACTGTTCTTTTTATCTAAGCTCTTGGTTGAGATGAAAAAGTTATAAATAATATAGCCATCTGTATAAGGAATAAAACAATTACGTCAGAGATCCTTAAATGTCATGCAATTGTAATCAAAAGGAGTTAGTGAGACCCATCAATCTTTCTTTACACGCCGGACACATACGCGGGCTTTGGCCCAAAAGAAAGTTCTACTCACTAGAGGACACAAAACTATCAGTACTATATACATCTCGCTGCCGTGCTCAAGCACAGTTATCGGGTGGCATTCCTACGCGCTCTCTATAAGGAACCAAGGAATGATTCTTTAATAAAGCGGGTTACATCGAGCAACCTTTCTCTACATGCCCAAAATGTAAAAAAAACTTGATATTCCTCTATCACCCTTTACACTTATTATATAACTAACTTAATTAAAGATTACGAACATTCTGGATCAAGGTATTGTCTTGAAGAAGGAAGTAAATTCAGTTGCTACTGCCAAGCTTTGTTGAACTTGAAAAACTGGTCGATATTAATTCTAATACTGAAAACAGAAGCTAATTGTCGGCCCCACTCACTAGAGGACACAAAACTAACAGTACTATATACATCTCGCTGCCGTGGTCAAGCACAGATATCGGGTGGCATTCCTACGCGCTCTCTATGAGGAACCAAGAATGATTCTTTAATTATGTGGGGCACATCGAGCAACCTTTCTCTACTCATTGGGTGCAGATGACTCTTCTACGGGTCAGTCACCGAAATGTATGATTTATAATATATATTTATTGGTTTTATAAGCATTATGTATGTATTTGAACCAATTATGTTGCAAAATGTACGTAAAAAGTTTTTTTGACTCTAATTATAAGTTTTGGATTTGATATACTTCGTTACATTTTTTTAAGTCATTGCTGAAATCAATCATTGTTGAATTATGATTGCAATGAGCAAATAAAGATAAATGTAATAATGTAAATAACGTTAAATTGATTAAAAATGCTAAAATATGTGCACAGCCCAATTTTCATGCACGGTTCAGTGATGCGGAGTAGTTGTGTTAATTGTTATGTTTATGTTGTTATGCTATAGAATTACGAGCAGAACGGACGTTATGCTCGGTTGCAAATCAATTAAAGACGCAACAAATCATCGTAAGTATGTTAAAATAAATTGTAGAGTTGGTCGATTTGGACGGGGAATTTTCGTCGGCGTAGATTGTCGCGCTTGACTCTGCTCACTCCCTCGGTGAGTAATACACAAACAATCTCCGCTTTGCCATTGTCTGAGTCATTAGATAAGTGACTCCTCCGTAAGGCACACGTACCACTGGCTATCGCAGAATGGCAACAGTCAGCCACTTCAATTCATATTCGAACAGTTCGTCGGGGATCGGAAAAATGAGCGTGGACGAATCGGCCGAGCTGAGGGAACAATTCACCGCAGTGAGTAGAACGGGCTGTCCGTTTTTTCCTTCTCCTTGTCCCTCTTTTTTTCCCACCAATTTAAATTTTTACACAAGTCACACCCATGGCCAACGTCGCCTTTTGACCGTGCGAATATTTACACGTTAGTTTTAGTAGATTATCTCGGGGTTTTTTCTTTTTGTAGGGTTTTCTTTTGTATTACTTAAAAATGCCCTTTTCTCGAAATCGCAGAGTCGGGCCATTTTGCGATTGTTGAGAAACAATTCCAAATTTGGTTATAAACACGCGATCGGCCTTCGTCGCTGCAGATCGCCTTGAAAGCTGATTTTATTTTTACGAAAGATTTTTAACCACTGAAAAAGAAAAGAAGAAAGAAAAACCTATTCAAATTGACAATACAATATTATGGCAATTTTTTTCATTTTGTTTTTATATTTTATTTCATTCAATTCCCTAGCCGGTGTTCGTCAGATGATCGAACGGGTTTTCCGTGAAAGATAAACTCAATCTTGAAGTGTTTAAATCGTTATAAAAACGAACTTACGAAAATTGTTCAAATTACAATCCAATTTGAATCCAAATTGCGCATCAGAACAAATTTTTTTAGTTTTTGTCACAGTTCGTCCTCTCCAAAATTTTGTCATCACTATAAAAAACTTCGGTTTGTTCAGGTGTTTATTTTTTTCTTTGTATTTATCTTTTATTATTGTACGTTTTTATGCGTGTGTGCCTGTTTTCTGTATAAGCAAAGATTTTTTTCCCCTTTTTTGGCGTTGGAACGTGACATTCGTTCGATATTGCTTGTCCCAATACAATATTCCTCATATGGCCGAGTTAGTCATTCGCAGACGATAACGTGATCTTTTTTCTTCTTCAATACAGTGGTCTCGCAGTAAAACAAACTAATTGCAGGGGATTTGATTTCGGATTACTGAAAAATTCGGGTTGCAAAGGGGTGTTAAAAAAATTAACATTATGTACAAAAAACAAAAAATTCAACACAACAATTTATTATTGTTCCATTCGCAAAACCTATTAGAATACATATATACTGTCAATTTTTCTTTTAAAAAATCTTTTTTTCTTATTGGTCTTTTCTTTATTGCTTCTTCCTCTTTTTTTACTCATTTTTAAGCTGTAGGTATGTTATAACACGAGAGTTGTTTGTGTTACAGAAAATATGTAGACTGATCTACATTTCATTTGTTTGTAGTGAGGGATTCAGTGAACTGGAAAATTTGTTTTTTCTGAGCTGGTCTTTGCCTTATGTCTCTCTCTCAGTCAATACTTCATCCTCTTTCCCACTCAATGACTCTCCTTCTCACTCACTCACTCCTTCACTATCTCTTTCTCTGAATTCTCTCTCCCCCTTCCTTTCTCTCCCTCTCTCTCCCCCCTTCCTTTCACTCACACTCTCTCACTCTCACTCTCTCACTCTCACTCTCTCTCTCTCACTNTATCACTTACTCTATCATTCACTCGCTCGTTATCTCTTTCTCCCTCTCTCACTATCTCTATATCTGTCCCTTGCTCACCTACTTTCTCTCTGTTACTAACTCTCCCATTCTCTCTTTCTCTCTCACTATCTCTTTCTGTCCTCCTCCCCACTCGCTTTCTCTCTCACACTCTCATTTACTATCTCTTTCTATCTCATTCACTCTCTTTCTCACTAACACACTCTCATTCACACACACTACACACAGTCACATTCTCACTCACTTTTTTCATTCACCACACACACACACGCGCGCGCGCGCACACACACGCACACACACATTTTCTCTCTCTCTTTTTTTTTACTCGCTCTCCTTTTCTCACTTGCATTCACACTTCAGACTCTCTTAAGTTTCACGTTAAGTGTAAAAAATGTCCAAGAGAACTAACTTTTCGTGATTAAATAAAACGATCATTCAATCAATGATATATGTATCTCTTTCTTTCTTTTTTCCCTTTCTCCCCAAATAATGTTTCATTTGTTTCCTTTAAAATTCCGTCTTCTTGAATTGTTTCCCAGTTCGGTTGACTGGAATGTTCAGAATACCGAAGTTCGGAGTAGGGAGAGAGGCACTGTATTCCAAAATTGAATGTTGAACATGCTTGCTCTTTTGATTTAGAACCGCTTTGGATTTCTGCCTCTAGGAAATATTCTATTAGACGGCTATTTGCATTCGTGAGAATTTTCTCACGCCGCTTTTATCCTTTCTACTACATTATAAATTAGACGGGGATTCGACTCGATCCGTTGCCCGTTCCGAGTAAAAGCTCCCGGTCTCAATAAGAGCCGGTGTTTCCCACATCTCACTTTCCTTTTTCTTCGGCTTTGCCAAAAGCTTTTGTCGAATTTCTAATCAATCTAAAAAAATACTAATAATATATATGGTTTTCCCATTGGTACAAGTCATCGTGCACGCCCACGAGTAGTCGTCATTTTTTTCCAATGAATCTCAAGGCCCTGGAATTTTGGAATCATCGCCGGAATTTATAGATTTTTATCAAAATTGAACCATATTATGTATTTAATAGTTATAATTGTCCGTGTTAATTATTTTAATTAATTATACTTTTTATCTAAGGTCTTGATTGAGATGAAAAAGCTAGTGTCACGAAGGGGATTGGAATTGAAATATTAATGTATTAACAAAAATTAATTAAAACTGAATTTAACTCACGTTTCAATAAATACAGTTTTTTATTTATTTTTTAATTAATTTGTTTATTTATTTATTCATTTTTTACGGGGGTTTACAACAGCAGAGGTCATATCAACACCCAATGTACTGGTATTATTTAAAAAAAGCCCATTTGTAAGTATTTTGAATGAGTGAATGAGTCACAGATTTGATAGTTCATTAACGTCTAGAAAGCTTGGGAATGGGTAGGTGTAGTTGTTCGATAAATTTGCAAAAAAAATTTCCAACATTTCTATTTACATAGGAGGTGTTAACCATATACTGACAATAATGTAACAGTTCAAAAAGAAAAAATGTTCTGAACAGCACTGAAAAATCATACAATATTTTCTTTTTAATGGCTTCAAAACCTATAATTCATACATGCTTACTGTATGAATTTTAGCTCGGTATTATGGCAGTCGAGTAGCTCATAAAATTAGCGTTGGTTTCGGTGATAAAACAATAAGTGAGCACACTGCCCAAAAGTGGTTCTAAAAATTTGCTTTGGGGAATGAGATGATTGAATACGAACCATGATCTGGTAGGCCGTCTGTTTTTAATGATGATGAATTGAGAGAAACTATCAAACTTGATTTGAGTCAAACGTGTCAGGAGCTTGCCAAAGTGTTCGATGTAAGCGATGAAACCATTCACTCTAGCTTACATCAACTTGGGAAGAGGTGGAAGCTGAAAAAATGGGTTCTTATTAATTGACCAATGTTAACAAGCTTCAGCGATTAAACCTTTGTTATTTTCACGGCACAACACAGAGGCATTTCTTGACTGGATTGTCATGAAAATTGGATCCTGTATCAGGAGATCGTACTCTTGGCTGTCACCAAATGACCCTGTCCGATTGACGCAAAAATCAAATATAAACTAACAAAAGGTAATTGGTTTGTGTTTGGTGGAGTATGGCAGGTATTGTGCACTATGAAATACACTGGCTAGACCATCAACACAGAATTGACTCAAGCCAACTGCAACGAATATCCCTGGTACAGAAACAACCTACTCTCATAACAGAAAAGGTGTAATTTTTCACCTGGACAACAAAAGACCTCTTACAGCCAGAACAACAAAGGAGATGATAATTAATGAAGCTTGGTTTGAAATGTCCTACCACACCCTCCATACTCTATAGGTACCTTCCTTAGCAATGGGCAACCATTTGCGAATCGGGAGTTGATAATCACCAACAGCTGTAAAACTAGCTAAGTCCCTGGACTCAAACTTTTATAAAAAGGGCATAACTTGTCTTGTAACTCGTTGGGAGAAGAAACGTTAACAACTAAAGGTACCATTGCGGTTGTCGATAGTTGGAGCTTAACTTTGTTCGTCAAAACTGAATATGGAATATCCAGTAGGGTTGTTCTTATTGTACTATTATGACTTAAAACAATTTATTATTGTTGACACGCTTTCCAAGTTCCGGCCGGCTTCCTCTTCAGCGACTTGTGGGAGATCAGTTACAAACTTAAGTTGAATAATACCAGCGACAACTAAAGATAAATTAGAGTATAAATTATAACAGTTGGAACAAAGAGAAAGTATCCACGCTGATGTTTTTCCCCTATTTACATATATTAATTTGTAAAATGGTTTGGAAGGCCTAAAAATGGACACATATTTTTTTGCAGTATTAATTATTTGGGGTATTATTTAGTTATTTTATGAAAGGTTGAATTTCAATAAAGTTTATTAAACAGTTGGAACTAAAGGCATTGACATTCAACCTTTGATAATGGAGTTCCACCACAAAAGTACAACAGACCTTGAAAAAATCGTTAGTTATTTTAATACTGCAAGTGAAAACCAGGTATGAGCCAAGCAAAACAGATTACTCGAAATAAACATTATGGGTAGAAAGAGGAAATCCTACTTACCAGAAAATTAATTAAAAACTCTAACTGGCAAAATTACAGGACAAGTTAGTTAAATACCGCCTTAAAAAAATGGGACTATCAACAAATGACCAGTGTTGACTACGTCTAGAAGAGGCAGAGGCAACAGGACATCCTGTGCATCTTCCCCACAATAGCTAGGAAAAGGCTGTGCTAACTGGGAATGCTGTTCTCGAGCCATACAGATCTAGATTCCATACCCTTGAGAATAATTCCCTACTTCATAAAATAAATGAAAATCTTACAGGAAATATTATATAGAAGGGATGAAAAAAATTGTTATTTTATCCAATGTTTTGTCGTAAGTCCTAAGACACTTTCTCCTGTTGAGAAGTGTATCACCATAATTTTGTTTTGTAATATAGTAAAGTAATACCTGTGATATAGAAGGGCGAACCCTTGTGGACGAAGGGTCAAACCACATTACAATACCTCCTACATATTATTTCCTGTGCCGTGATTTGAACCCTGAAATATAAAAGTAAACGCTAGCAAGGGAAATACGTTGGTCATTTAAAATAGACACAAATAATTCAGTTATAATTATTAATTACATTCAGAATATTGTTTATTCCAACTATATAAGTTGTTAAAAGTACACATCATTGAAGTAAATAGTGTATACACATTAAAAATTAATGAGAGGTGTGTGAATGTATTTTATGCTTACAACTTAGGGAGTCAGAATTCTCTGGGATTTCACCAATGACACCAGAAAACATTCTCATCACCATGAAAAGCCATATATTTTATTTGTCTTTCAGTAGAAAGATTTTAATCTTAAAAAGATTTACGATGTTTTCAGTGATTTTTTTGTGTGTATTATGTGTTGGTTTTTAAAGGGTTTGGAATTTGCACTGTTTTCAGCTTGCTTTTCCAATAAAATTTATTCCTCCTTTATAGTAATGTAATTGATTGACATACAGGAGGACTTAACATCCAACTGCCCGTTTGGTGTTGTAGACAAGTGGTCAAACTACTTTACAATTCTTATTCCATATTATTCACAACTAAAAATCAATGGGGTATGCTGGGATTTGAACCAGAACCACTAGTGTGGTAAATAAGAGTTAGCCGCCCTAACCCGTAGTACCCTTTAGAAAGTTCGAAGTATTCGTGTGTCGCATGCGTGGTATCCATTTCAGTTTTTTTTACCGTCCAGTACATTATTCCTCCTTTATAAATGGGACTGTAATAATACTATGATAAAATTTTACCTTACTGGAGTGAATACATAGTTAAGGCTGTTTGAAAGTGTCAGTATGTTTCGCATGAACTTTTGTTGGTGACAGAAATGAGTTGTTAATAATCCTAGAGCCTAACTTTAGTGGGCATAACATGCAAGTCCGAAGTCTTTGTGAGTAGTCACATGTAAAGTTGTTACTTTGATTTTGTAGTAATTTGCTTTTTATAAATTATAATTTATTAATAAAGATACAATTTATTAATTAAATTAAATTGACAAGTTAAAAAAATTTCATTTCTGTGAAATAAGTTAGTTTTTAAAAGTTGTTACTAAATTATAAAAACAATGCGACAGTTGTTTTTGCTTAATTATGATGGCTTTTAAAAGAATGTCACTGGGTTTTGTTTGTAAACACAGGTGAATGATGAATCATCGTTAAATATTTATGGCTTTATAAACCCAATTCATAAATTATTGTTTATTAATTATGCTCAGCATTCTTATAATTAATTCTTGAACAAAAATATTTTGATTATTCCTAATCTAGATGTTATGACCTCACTTGTGACTCATAATCGAAGCATGAAAAATTTGAATTTGCCTGATTCATAACTAGTGTTTATGGCTGAAATGACTCAAAAGTGATAATTTCAGAAAACCTACAGGGTGATGTTGGATAATTTGCAGATAATTCATGAAGTGGGAGGGGAGAATAAATTATGCTAATGAGTAATTAATTTTGTTGTAGTATTTTGTTTGTTAATTGTTTATATACTTGCATGTTTGTTTTATAAAGAATAATGCTTTTAAGCAGAAAACACCAAAAAGCTTAACGTGATTGGATATTACTAATGAACTTGTGACTACAACAAATGTATACATATATATATAAAATTTAATTAAATTAAAAAATTCAGTGAAAGTATAAAATTTCATTCGGTTTGGTTATTATTTTATCTTAAAATTGTTCCTATTTTTATTTGATGCATTAAACATTTACGGGGCATTAGTGGCTGCAACGATTAAGACGTTGACAATGCGCTCATTTACCTCATCACTGTTAGGTAAAGGTCCGAGGTTTGAAGCCAGCAGCCTTGCATTCGGACAGACTTACTTTTTTTTCCCCCAACAAAAAACACTGTCACCTATAGTTGATATGACCTCTCCTTTTGCGAACCCCCAGGGGGAACATTTACACACAATACAAATTACATCATTGAAAATAAATGTTTTGATCAGTGGTCAGGTTTATAAAAAAACTTGGAACAACAACCAGCTTTCTTTCATTTATTGAATATAATTTGGGGCTCACACCTGTGAGTAGAGACAGACCCAGTAAGTGACCCCAACGTGAGATCCTTATCGTTTTCGTTTAAAAGGATATGTATGAGTCGCGAAATACATTCGCTATATGCAAGAGAGTTTGTTGTTACTGTTTCAAGTTTTTAACAAGCCTGACTACTAATTATATGCACAAAAGGGGAAAAAAAATGGATTCATCTACAATAAATGTGCATATTCCTATTTTTTTCAGATTGACAAAAATGGTGACGGATATATTGATTTATCTGAGCTGAAAGATGCATTAGAACTGTGTGGTTTTAAATTACCAGGATGGAGGGTTCGTAAAATGATTGGAGATGAGCTGAAGACACAACATCAAGGAAGGCTTTCCTTTGCCGAGTTCGAAAAGGTTCTTTTTTATTTTTTAATGCAAAATAGATTAATTAATCAGTTTTATTTTATTTCATTTTTTTTTTTTCAATTCTTACATATCAAATCAGAATTTTATAAATAATCTGTCATAGTGCTGATAAAACTATCTACACTTGATAAATAAAAAATAAACTTGGATTTTCTATGGTTATTCACATGGCAACAGCACACAATCTAGAAAGAAAGCTCTGTAATGACCTTGATTGCATTAAGTTTCGATTTGTGCATTCTGAGATCAAGTGGAGTTACTTTGTTTTTAAAACTTCTAAAGCATGAAAAAATTCAAATATCCTTAAAAGTGAAATCATTAAGATATTGGGTTGTCCGGAAAATAATGCAGGATTTTGGTATTAAACAAAAAAAAAGAAACTAGTTACTTTAAAGCAATGTTCTTTAATCAAAATAATTTCCCATACTCTCAATACATTTCTCCCAACGTGTTGGTAACTTATTAATTCCGTCTGAGTAGAATTCAGAATTTTTAGAATTGATAAAGTCAATAAATGCATTTTCCAGTTCCGTTTGATTTTTGAATATTATGTGTTGTAAGTAGTGGTCCAGGTGTCTAAAAAAATGGTAGTCAGTAGGCGAGAGGTCCGGAGAGTAGGGTGGGTGAGGCAAAGTTTCATAGCCAAGCTCCAATAATTTTTGTGACGTTACACGTGACACATGTGGTCGAGCGTTGTCATGCAACAAAATGGGCCCTTTCCGATTGACCAAAGAGGGCTTCATTACTGCCAATTTCTGATGCATGGTATTAATTTGGTTACAGTATGATTCAGCATTGATGGTTTCGCCAGGATTTAAGAAGCTGTAGTGTATTAAACCAAATGAAGCCCACCATACCGTAACCATTACCTTTTTTTGATGAGTTGGGGGCTTTGGAAAATGTATTGGAGCTTCTCCTTTGTCGAGCCACTGTCCAGAACGTCTAGTGTTATCGTAGAGAATCCACTTTTCGTCACATGTAACAATTCTGGCCAGAAATGGGTCATTTTTGTTTCGACAAAGAAGTGATGCACAAACATCAAAGTGCTGATTTTTTTGGCGATCGTTTAATGAGTGTGGAACCCAATTTTCGAGTTTTTTCACTTTTCCAATCGCCTTGAGGTGGTCAGCGACGGTCGTTTTACTGACTTTGAGTTGCTCTGCACCCACCACTGATCGCAGAACATCATCATTAAGAGAGGAAGGCCTTCCACGACCTTCTTCATCTTCAAGGCTGAAATCTCCCTCCCGAAATTTTTTAAACCACCTTTGCACAGTGCACTCATTAACACAACCCTCGCCCCAGACTTGGTTAATGTTTCTAGCCGTTTGGGCTCCGCTTCGGCCGAGTTTAAACTCGTAAAAGAAAATCGTACGAAATTCTCGCTTTGACATTATAAGGATGACTGAATTATTTCCAAGTAGCGGAATGCTACAGAGGTAAACAAACAATATCATTTGGAAGAGGATTAATAAGTGTTGACATTCATACAAATGAGTAATCCTGTAAACGTAAACAGAATATTTTATATAGATTTTTTTTAATGAAAACTTAAAATCCTGCATTATTTTCCGGACAACCCAATATAATATAGACCTTGTTTTCTTCTGCAGTGTAACGTGAACCCTTTCTTATAACAAGTGTAGACTGTACGTTTTGAAACGGAAACGTATGCACTTCACTAAGCAGAATTACAATTTTAATTTTTTTCCACAGCTTTGTACCGAACTTAAAGCAAACGAAGTAGCGAGCACTTTTAAAAAAGTAGTTTCGAAAAAGGAAAACCTTGAAACCTTGGGTGGAATGTCTGATGCTTCAAGTGAAGGTAAATGGTCGATATACGCGAGATTTATTTCTTTAATATAATAGCCATTCTATACATTTACAGGAACTACACATTCTGTAAGGCTTGAAGAGCAATTGGCCTTTTCTGATTGGATAAACAGTAACCTTGCTCAAGACCCAGATTTGAAACACCTTTTAAAAATTGATCCCGAAGGAAAACGTCTGTACGATTCGGTTAAAGATGGAATTTTATTGTGGTAAGTATATTTATAAGTTAAGTTCTTTGCATTCAGGGGTCCCCCTATCATTATTAACTTCCCGTAGTTTTGTTTTATTAATATCAATCAATTAGAATATGATACAGTTAGAAACAATATTAATTTGATTGTGATTTGGTAAAAAAAAATGATCAAACTTAGTAATGTGTTACATTTTTGGAGGGTATATAGCAGTAGGTATAAAGAGAAAAAGAAAGTGCAAAAATTATTCTTTGCTATCAACAATTCAAAACACCTGCTATAATCTGTTCCAAATGTTAAAACACTAAATGAAAAAAGTTGGTACTTCTTAATAAGTTGATAACCAGAAAAGTTTGTGTGGTTTGTCATTTATTATTATTTTAATTCTGCTAATCAACATTTCTATTTACATAGGAGGATTAAATATCTTTTATTTTGTTATTATTGTTTGTGTCTGTTTTTGAAAAAAAAATCGTACGTTTGTAAGTATGTTTTACTTACAGAACTTTATCTTTACCTTACAAGATAAGGTTTGTACTACCAGACAACAGTACAAACTAAACTGTTGTAGTCACCGAAATATATGTTTACATCATATAATATCAAGATGTTAATGTGTCAGTTCATAAAGAAAAAGCGCCTTGAACTGTTGTCTGTAAATTATAAAATATTTTCTTTCTCATGGCTTCAAAACCCAAAGTTCATTTGAGCGTATTGTATGAATTTAAGCTTGGCCCTAGGACGACAGAGGCAGTTCATAAATAGTTTGTTGGAAAATTAACACAATAAGAGAGTGCACTTCTCAAAACTGGTTCAAAAAGTTGACTTCTGGGAATGAGGGAGTCGAAGATGAACCTGGTCTGGTAGACTTCAGTACTGAATGGCAATAAATTGAGGGAAACTATGAACTTGATTGGAGCTGTCAGGAGTTTGTCAGTGTTTAATGTAAGCGATGAAACCATTCGCTCTAGCTTCAATCAACTTTGGAAGAGGCGGAAGCTGAAAAAATGGGTTCCTCATTAATTGACCAATGGCAACAAGCTTCAGTGTCTAAACCTTTCATCGCTTTAATGGTTTTTGACTGGATTGTCACATGCAATGAAAAATAATTCTTGTACAGTAACACAGTCTCATTTACATGAAAACTGAATATTCAACAACAAAAGGTGATGCTATTTGTTCGGTAGAGTATGACAGGCATTGTGCACTACAACTCGTGCCATGTGGCAAGACCATCATCACAGAAATCTACTCGAACCAACTGCAACGAGTTTCTCTTGCTCTGGCCCAGAAACCCAGCTCTCATCAACAGAAAAGGTGGTTTTTCACCAAGACAACAAAAAACATACATTCAGAATGACATATGGTGATAAAGAAGCTTAGTTTGAAAGTCCTACCACACTCTCCATACTGACCTGGCTTCATCTGACTTTCATCTTTTCTTAGAATGGACAATCATGTGTAATCGGTAGTTATAGATAATCTGCTGGAAAACGAGCTGAGTTTATTTTTTAAGTCTTGGGACTCAAACTTTTATAAGAAGAGCATAACTGGGCAAGTAACTCATTGAGAGGTTATAGATGACAATAGAGACTATTTGCCAGAATAAAATATTTCTAAACTTATTTTTAAACCCATAAACTTTTCTGGTTATCTTATAGTTGCTGCAATTTAAATTTAAATTTAATTTTTCTGTCTTTGTTTCAGCAAAGTTATAAATCATTCATGCCCAGATACAATCGATGAGAGAGCTATAAATAAAAAGAACCTCACTACTTATACGAAACTTGAAAATTTGACACTGGCACTTATTTCAAGTCAGTCTATAGGATGCAATATTGTCAACATTGATGCTCATGATTTAGCAAAAGGAAAACCTCACCTTGTATTGGGTTTATTATGGCAGATTATTCGAGTGAGTTTCATCACTGCTTATTCTATATTTTATACTCAATTGTGTTTTTATAGAAAGAAAATTACCATTGAATCAAAATAATGTTAATACAATTTTTGTTAAAGCAGAAGAAAAATTTGTTTTATTAAAAAAAAAAAAATGTTCGAGTCCTATTCCTCACAACTATTCAAACTATCAAGTCAGTAGTTATATTATTAATTTTGTACTTTTCATGTTATTTCTAGATTGGTCTGTTTAATCAAATCACATTAGAAAATTGCCCAGGATTGGCAACGCTCTTATCGCAAGGAGAACATATTGAGGATTTGATGAGATTGTCTCCAGAGGCTATTTTGCTTCGTTGGGTTAATTATCACTTGGAACAAGCTGGAACCCCATTGTATGTATTTTATACATACATATTTTTTTAATTAAAAATATGAACTAATTTTTAACAATTTTATAAAACTTTCAGGAGGTGTAACAATTTCCATAGTGATATCAGTGATTCAAAAATATATACTTACTTGTTAAAACAAATCGCACCTCAAGATAAAGACGTTACTATGGAAGCATTAATGGTAAGTAACATTTTGATTGATATGACCTTGTAAAAATAATAGAATAGAACCTAATAAGCAGATTAATTTATGTTCAGGAACCTGATGTTCTTAAAAGAGCAGAAATCATGCTGCAGCAAGCTGGGAAACTTGGATGCCGAAGCTTTGTTACACCTGCAGATGTAGTTAACGGTGTTTACAAACTTAATTTAGCTTTTGTAGCCAATCTGTTCAATAATCATCCAGGCTTAGACCAGCCCGAAGCTATTGAAGGGATGGATATGGTAGAAGAAACACGTGAAGAAAAAAGTACGCTTATGATAGTTGCTTACGTTGTGTATTGTTAAAACTCAACACATTTGTTACGGCACAGATTTGTAAAGACTCTCTTGATATACAGCAAAAATGTTGATTAAATTTTTTTTTCAAAAATTTTAAACAAAATCCAAAATGTCAAATCGAAAAACGATCTTTATAGTAATGTTGCCAAAGCGATACTAAAGGCCTTTGACATAAACTCGATTCCAAAAACTACCTCAAACACCGTACAACAAGCTTTGAAAGCGTGGTTTTTGTAGAAGAGGTGCATCATTCTTGAATGACATCTATATGTGGAAGGATTTAGTGTGTCTTTTCAGAACGATGACCGTAACAAATGTGTTAATAAACAAGCTTGATAACCCAGTCAGGACGGTAGTGTGACTCCTCTCGTCACTTTTAGATTCGAGTTCATAGAAGCATTTGGCTGTTTAAATTATTTTTAATGGTAGTGGGAGTGGGAAATTAAAAAAAAAAAAAAATACCATTTTAAGCACTGCTTTGAACTTCAGACTAAAAGTGAAGGGAGTAAAGCACATCATGCTCTCAGTACCTAAGTAAAGGTAGGGGTGAGAATGATGGCATGCCCTCATGCACCTTACTGAGAAAAGTGAGAGCACATCACGCTCACTGTCCGGAATGGGTTAATTGTAAAATTTAAATTTTTCTTATCAGTAACTAACTGTATTAATTTTATTTCAGCATATCGTAACTGGATGAATTCCATGGGTGTGACACCATATGTAAATTGGTTGTATTCTGATTTAGCTGATGGTCTCATTATTTTTCAACTTTATGACATCATCAAGCAAAACACTGTCAACTGGAACAGAGTCCACAGGTTTTTATTTTCCCCTAAATTTTTAGTTGGATGAGCCCTGGTACTTGTTAAGATTAGATAAAACACTCTTTTTATCTCTTGAATGGCAAAAACTGCTCTAAGCTGTCCCTATTGTTTTCCTCGATAATATCTTATATTTTCAAAAGACAAATTTCAAAAGCCATTATCAGTGCTAAAATTGAAAAACTGATTATTAATCATCCTTATTATCAAAAGATAAATAATAGCATTATGGAAAGTAGATGTATGATGAATCAGTCCTCTTAAGCTTATGCCATTCACAATAAAATTATTTCAAGTAAAATTTAAAATACAAAATGTACATCTTAAGGCAGCTCCAGACATGCGGTATAGCCGATTGTCCATCCACACTAGTCTGGATCGGCTAAAATTTGCATGGCATTCGGCAAATACCGCATGTCTGGAGTCGCCATTATAGGATGAACAAGATAGAAATAGTATTGGGTGTGTGAGCATGTTTTTTCGGTTTTTGGGAAAAAAATCAAATTTTCAAAATAAAAATGCATTTTACTTTTAATACCAATAATTCTTCCAAACGTCCTACAGCATTTTTGTAAAGGCCTACTTCTCATCCTTAGTGATTAAATAAGAATAAAGCAGGGAACACACTTATCCGATGCTACCCGAAGCCACCCGATGAAAATCCAGTCCAATTTTCCATAAGATTGTATTACCCCTATGCACATCTGCCCATTGGTATGCAACGTTACCCTATTCTACGCTCTGCGATCCGTACTGTCCAGATTTTCGTCAGGCAGCATCGAAGACAAAAGAACCGGACACTCATATTTTTATTCAAACTACATGTATTATTGCTGTTATATTAATTACAACATACTTATTTTAATATAAACCAAATTAAGTGAGATCAAAAATTCACTAGTTCTTATTACAAAATATAATTTTAATGGTTTGGCAGAAAATTTATCAAAACAATGAAATACCATTTATTGGTATAATGAATTTAACTAACAATTTATTACATGGTTTTGCTCATTAAATTTAACTAAACTTTATTACACGGTTTTGCTCATAAAATTTAACTAACAATTTATTTCATAGTTTTGCCCATAAAATGTAGCTAAAAATTTATTACACGGTTTTGCTCATAAAATTTAACTAACAATTTATTACATGGTTTTGCTCATAAAATTACACCATTTTCATCAAGTAGCGTCAGAAATTTAACTAACAATTTATTTCATAGTTTTGCCCATAAAATGTAGCTAAAAATTTATTACACGGTTTTGCTCATAAAATTTAACTAACAATTTATTACATGGTTTTGCTCATAAAATTACACCATTTTCATCAAGTAGCGTCAGAAGCGGACACTCATATTTTTTGAAGTTTATTTCAAACTATATATATGTAATTTTGTAGTTACTAAAATTTATGACACGGTTTTGCTCATAAAATGTAGCCAAAAATTTATTACATGGTTTTGTTCATAAAATTTAACTAACTAAAAAATTCATGAGTTTTTATAAAAAAATTATTTAATTATGATTGATGATTAAGCAGAAAATTTATCAAAACACCGGAATAACTTTATGCAAAACAATTAAATTGAACTAACAATTATTACATGGTTGTGCTCATAAAATTTAACTAACAATTTATTGATGTGATACACACTGTGTGACTGTTGTGGCGTGTGCTTGACGTCGCATAGATCGTCGGTAGTGTTGCATCGGGTAAGTGTGTTCCCCGCTTAAACTCTTCTGATTTATTCCTATGCAAGAGTAATACACAACAAGTGATGCGGTCTTCCTTATTCCCCATGACTCAAGTTTCACAACATAACCCAGAGATTGAATTTTTTCAATTGTTGTGCGATGTACCTAAATTTTTCTGATAGCTCTGCTACCATTAATTTGTCCTCATCTTCCAATGCCACTAATAAGTTGTCTTGTAATTTTTTTTAAATTTATATATTTTCAACAGAGACTTATTAAGACCTAATAAGTCTTATTCAAATTTGTTGCTTATATCATAAAAAATCTCCATGTTTTTTTTAAATAATAAAGTAAAAACTAAAAAAAATTTAACATATAAAGTTTTTACTTTATTATTTAAAATAAATAAGTAAATGGAAATTTTGTCTGAGTAGAACTATCTTTACAAAAAATGAATCGACATACTCACCCCACCATTATTTCTACCAGGTATTAGTAGATATAGATCTATAGACCATAGGGACCTGACATTTTATTGTGAGGTTTTTCCAATTCCAATTGTTTTTCATCAGATTTTTTCTTGTTATAAAAAAAGATTTGATTTATAAATTTAATATAATGTTAATTTCATTCATTTTTCGTTATTACAGAACATTCTCCAAGCTTACGATGTTCATGGAAAAACTGGAAAACTGTAATTATGCTGTAGAACTTGGGAAGCAGTTGGGATTTTCGCTTGTCGGTATTGCTGGTCAGGATTTAAATGATGGAAATGCAACTCTTACATTAGGTATTTTAGAAGCATGTTTTTACTTCTTTACATGAAATGTTGTGTGCTAAGCAATACTTCAACTTTTTTTTTATGTTTTGAGCTTTACCACAAAATGTAGACCATTTTTGTTGCTTTTAACGAAATTTAGAGATTTCTTAATACCAAAACACGTCATAATCTTAAAAACTTTCTCTATGGCCTTATAAGTTTTTGTGTTATTAATTAATACAAAAGAAGAGTACATTTTATAGTATATAATTTTCATATTTATTAAAATTAACCAAACAAGTTTGATTTTATTTAACAGCTTTAATTTGGCAACTTATGAGAGCATATACTCTCTCAGTACTAACACAGCTTGCTAATACTGGCAGTCCAATTGTTGAAAAAGAAATTGTTGCCTGGGTCAACACAAAGTTGCAGTCATGCAATAAAAAGAGCACACTTAAAGGTTTCCAGGTAACTATTGCATTCAAATTTGCTACATATTCTAATAGAATATTTTTGAGAACTGTATTTTCATCATTACAAAAATATATTGGGTTGTCCGGAAAATAATGCAGGATTTTGGTATTAAACAAAAAAAAAGAAACTAGTTACTTTAAAGCAATGTTCTTTAATCAAAATAATTTCCCATACTCTCAATACATTTCTCCCAACGTGTTGGTAACTTATTAATTCCGTCTGAGTAGAATTCAGAATTTTTAGAATTGATAAAGTCAATAAATGCATTTTCCAGTTCCGTTTGATTTTTGAATATTATGTGTTGTAAGTAGTGGTCCAGGTGTCTAAAAAAATGGTAGTCAGTAGGCGAGAGGTCCGGAGAGTAGGGTGGGTGAGGCAAAGTTTCATAGCCAAGCTCCAATAATTTTTGTGACGTTACACGTGACACATGTGGTCGAGCGTTGTCATGCAACAAAATGGGCCCTTTCCGATTGACCAAAGAGGGCTTCATTACTGCCAATTTCTGATGCATGGTATTAATTTGGTTACAGTATGATTCAGCATTGATGGTTTCGCCAGGATTTAAGAAGCTGTAGTGTATTAAACCAAATGAAGCCCACCATACCGTAACCATTACCTTTTTTTGATGAGTTGGGGGCTTTGGAAAATGTATTGGAGCTTCTCCTTTGTCGAGCCACTGTCCAGAACTTGTCGAGCCATTGTCCAGAATCCACTTTTCGTCACATGTAACAATTCTGGCCAGAAATGGGTCATTTTTGTTTCGACAAAGAAGTGATGCACAAACATCAAAGCGCTGATTTTTTTGGCGATCGTTTAATGAGTGTGGAACCCAATTTTCGAGTTTTTTCACTTTTCCAATCGCCTTGAGGTGGTCAGCGACGGTCGTTTTACTGACTTTGAGTTGCTCTGCAAGTTCTCGAACAGTTGTTTTGGGGTTTTCTTCCACCACTGATCGCAGAACATCATCATTAAGAGAGGAAGGCCTTCCACGACCTTCTTCATCTTCAAGGCTGAAATCTCCCTCCCGAAATTTTTTAAACCACCTTTGCACAGTGCACTCATTAACACAACCCTCGCCCCAGACTTGGTTAATGTTTCTAGCCGTTTGGGCTCCGCTTCGGCCGAGTTTAAACTCGTAAAAGAAAATCGTACGAAATTCTCGCTTTGACATTATAAGGATGACAGAATTATTTCCAAGTAGCGGAATGCTACAGAGGTAAACAAACAATATCATTTGGAAGAGGATTAATAAGTGTTGACATTCATACAAATGAGTAATCCTGTAAACGTAAACAGAATATTTTATATAGATTTTTTTTAATGAAAACTTAAAATCCTGCATTATTTTCCGGACAACCCAATATATAAGAATTTAAAAAGTATATTTAAATATGATGATGTTAAAAATATGTTATTTTTCTACTAGGATTCTTCAATTTCTGATGCCAAGGTTGTCATTGATCTTATTGACGCCATCAAGCCTGGTACTATAAATTACGATCTTGTGAAAGATGGAGAAACTCCTGAGGTATGTTTTGATACTATTCTTGTTGAAATGAAACGATGGTAAACTTTGTAATTAAAATGATAACAAATTAACCTTTTCGGGACAGATTTTCGATTTCTAAAAAGTGTTCCCTCCATATCACCTCAATTGCTACATGACCTCTCCCCCATTTGATTTATTTATGTTGCGCCAATTCCGTACAAAATTCGACAATACATTTCTTGGATATTATACTTTGTAACGGAAGTAAGTAAATAGAAGGGAAAAAGTTTTATTTAATTTAAAATTTATTTCACTCATTATGTAAGTCTTATTTATGTATTTTAAAACGTAATAACTAAAAAACAAAAGTAACGTTGATTGTGTATTTATTTAGCTCAACTCTGTATGTAAACATACATAAACGTAAATGCGTACAAATAAAGACAACAAAGCAAATAGCTCCAAAAATTACTGTGAATAAGCAATGTAAAACTAAAACACTTGACAAAGAGGTGAAAAATCAGAAAGACGATCGGTTAAATGAAATACAGGAAAGGTAGAGGGTTGAAAACGGAAGGGGGACATGCCCAATGTGATGTCGATATTGTAGCTGAATGAATTGAGAGAGAGAGGGCCTAGATTGTGAACAGAAGGGGGGAAGAGAGTAGTTTGTTGATGATAAGGATGGGAAAGCAAGGGCGGGGAGGTGACCATTTACTACCACGGTGTCTCCTTAGCCCAATAGATCAGTGTCAAGCTAGGGCTCATAATATGCAAAAAAAACCACGAGGGCAAGATAACTCATAAACTGGGCCTGGGGAGCCTACTAGCCCGAATGAGATTTCTCGTCACAAGTCCCGAAAAGGTTAAAACAGAATTTTATGTATCATTAATTTTAAGCGTTAAGTAGAAAACTTAAGTCAAATTTAACCAATTTATTCTGTTGTTTCGCTTTTAGGAAAAACTAGCAAATGCAAAATATGCTATATCGATGGCGAGAAAAACTGGTGCTCGTGTTTATGCTCTTCCTGAAGATATAACTGAAGTAAAACCGAAAATGGTCATGACAATGTTTGCTTGTCTCATGGCTATGGATTATGTTCCCAACATGGGCTCCAGGAATTAATTATAAAATGTTTTATCTATTAACTCTCAGTAAACTTCAGTTTTTGTTTTCTTTTTTTTCTTAGGCTTTAATTTATTAAATATAATAGCTATTGGACAGACTGACTTAAATTAGCAGACTATAAGAAAACGGTGATATAAATATATACAATGCTATATATTATTACAAACAAACCAATTACATGACATATACACCACACATACAAATATATATAAAAAAAAACCATGCCCATTTTGACAATGTTGAGAGTTAATGTAAGCATTTGTTACAAGTGCACCTAAGTCAGTACTTTTTTTATTTATTACCAATATGCTTCAAATGTAGTGTTGAAGGGATCATAAGTTACTATAGTATGTATAATTGCATATAATGCAATATAAGGAAAAGAAAATATTATTGTACAACGAATTTTCTTATTTACCATGTTTCTTAAAAATTGTTTGTAATCTTGTGTATTTATTATCAATAGGTTATTTATATTGTTGTTAATTTCTTAATCAAATATTATCATTTTTTATATTAATGCATGTAAAAAACATTATTTCAGAAATAGTTTAAACAAGATCAATCGTGTGTATTGTAATAAGGACTTCCTTTGTTATGTTATGTTTTGCATATTAGTTCTAGGTTACTACAATGAACTTAAATAGGTATTTGCAAATTTAAATTAGAAAATTGTACGGCAAATTCCTTATGTATATCTCTTAAATGAAATGCATCATTTTTTGTTATATATAATTTTAATATATTTATTTTTTTCTCTGGCAAATTTTAAATTGATTATTTTTGTAAGAGGTTTGTTTTCAAAATCATAACAAAACTCAAGTGCCAATTTAGTGTGAATAGTCTTCTTTAATGTAAAAGATGAATTTTGTTTAATAAATTTTGATTTAGCATATACAACTGAATCTCGTTTTAGATTACTGAGAGGTAATCAGTTCTGTTTCCATTTTTATTTTGGTTGTATTAGGCAGTTAAAATTAAATCAAAGTTAAAATTATATTATTTTGAGGCTTAAAAGTCATTTTAGAGAATTACATTCAAATTTATGAGGATGTAACAAATTATTTATACGGATGTGTACAATAATGGGATCAGATGTATGGTGGTAATGTATAAGTTAGCAAAAGTATATTTTTTTATTGTAATTTAGACTACCATTTTTACATTCCACGCATGAATTGATTGATAGGTGACATTTTGTGCAAAATTAATTTTTTGTGTAGTTTCTAAATTGTCATGATTTTATTGCAACTGTTTTAGTTCGTTTTGTTTACAAGGTTTGTAACTGTTTTTCATAAACCATACTGGCTTTATATCAATAATAACTAGAATAGTTTAACATTCCAATCAATTACGTTATTTTTAAGCGTTTCTTTGTTTTAATTTTTTTAAAATTATTTTTCCTTATAAAATTGGCAAGTAATAATTATGGTGTAGGAACACCATTGTTCTTTTGATTTGAAGGTATCTACATAATTAATCCACTAAATGTATCTTTTTTTTATATGGAAGTTTTCAAATAGACATAGGATTCATGGGGCATTAAAGACATATAAGATGAAAAAAAATTAGTTTCAGCTGTTTTTTTGTGCAATAATGGGATGTATGTATTCATATTATTCTAGTGAAATATTTGTGCAATAATGTATCTTGTCTTATTCAAATTTTATTATTATCATTTTGATTAAAAAAGTGGTTTTATGTTTGGATTTTCCAATGTAATTAATTTTTATTGATAAAATTACAGATGGCATTTGTTGTATTAGATACTACTATGTCCAAACGTCAAATTGAATTTGTGAAAATGTCATACTTGTATCATTAGCATAGTAATATCATGATAATCATTTTTAATAAACTTTGTATCCAATTTTGCTATATAAACTTTTGTACGTATAAAACTTTTTAAGATTTTTGTACATTCATATATTCTACTAATAATACAAATAATAGTAACAAAGCGATTTTTCATTATGCATTTACATTCTTTAATCACCTCATTTAACCCTCCTTGTGAGCGACTGTCCACATTTATTATTGTCTGTCTAATAGTCTAATTTTAAAAAAAGCCTTATAAACAAGTCAAACAAAATAGGTTGACCAGTGACCATGTTCAATCTACTTCTCAATTTCAAATAATTATACTTTTTATCTAGTTTAGGTTGCGTTGAAAAAGTTTTAGTGTCACAAGTGGGATTCGAATACACAACTCGTCTAGGTTGAGATTGGGATGGGGAAATGGTGTCCGAGTGGATCTGTCACGACAGCTCAAGTGGTTAGAGCAGCGCCAGCATTGAGCTGAAGCTCCCACTTGTGACAATAACTATTTCATCGCAACCAAGGCTTTAGCTAATAAGTATAATTAATTGAAATAATTAAATAGGTCAATTATGATCGCTAAGCATAACTACTTCTGAATTGCAAATCCTTCACATTTTTGGGTAGATGGCATTTTTTCTCTTTCGGTTTGGTGTCTTACCAACTAGTTCTTAGTTTTCACTTTCTCTCCCTCACTCATTCCTCCTTCTCTCTCTCACTCGTTAACTTTATCTCTTTCTCACTCTCACAAACTTTCAGTCTCCATCACTCTCACTTTCTCTCCCTCTCTCACATACCTCACTCTTTCCCTCTCTCCCTAATTCATTTTAGCTCTTTCTTGCTTTCACACTCACTCACTTTCTCAATCTTTCCCTTTCTCCCTAATTCATTTTATCTCTTTCCTGCTTGCACACACTTCCTCCCCCTCTCTCTCATTCACTCTCTCATTCTCACAAACTTTCTTTCTCAATCACTCACTTTCCCTTCTTCTTCACTCTCTCTCTCTCTTTCCCTCTCATTTTTCTTTCTCTCTCGCACACTCACTAATTTTCTCTTTTATTCATTCACTTTCTCTCTCTCCTTCACTTTCCTTTTCTCTCTGTCTTATTTATTCACTTTCATTCTCCCACTCATTCTCTCTATCTCTTTCTCATTCACTTCTCTCTCCCTCTCACAAACTTTCTGTCTCAATCACTCACTAACTTTCTTTCCCTCTCACTCATTCACTCTAACTCTCACTCGCACACTTATTTACTTTCTCTCTTACTCTTTCCTTTTCTCTCTCTTTCACTCTTTTCTTTATACACTTGCCCTCTCTCACTCATGCATTTGTTTTCTTTAAAATTTTCCTCACCCCTTTAATTTTTTCTGATCGGATGACTGAAAAGTTCAGAGTCACAGCAGGAGTAAAGAAGTTTGGGTCAAGACCAACAAACTATTGATAACTTTTGGAAAAAAGTCTACGAATATGCATACCTACTGGGAGGGTTTAATGTGTAAAAGATGTTGGTTTTCTGTGGTCTATAGTGATCAATCTGAGTAGGCTGCATTGGGCTGGCCATGTGGCATGAACAGGAACGACTGGCAGAAACTGATTGAGGAGTCCATTGATGAACTATGAGTCTTATAAGAAGAAAAGCTGCTTTTTATTTGCTTATTTACTGCTGATTGAGTATGTCTTTTCTTATGTCTTATTGCTGTAATGTTTGATGAAATATTTGATCCTTAAAGTACTTACCTTGTTTTTAAAAAAATTGACTTACAACCTTGAGTGCACATAGAATTTTTTAATAGGCAAATTTTAAATTGTTTATTTACAAATATAAAACGTGAATAACTCTATAACAATTTCACAAAAATAAATAATAGAAGCATAAACTCAATGGAGATGTGAAATCTTGAGGAATTTGAGCAAATATTAGTACATCTTGTTTGCTGTATAAAGATCTGCACTATTTCATTCAATGTGTGTTCAATCTTCTCTTCATCACAGTGGCTATCTCGATTAATTGAATTAGTGCCACACGTTGTAAAAGCAATTAGTATCCAACTAAAATTATAACAACTTTTAGTTCAAAAAAGTATTAAACTGTAAAATATATGTTTAAAACAAATCATTTGACAGTTGGGTAGTGTTTTTTCTTGTTTTTATATTACTTTTACAATGACTGTAGAGCACAGAAACAACTAGGGATTCACAATCTGATCTGGCTTCCACCTTCTTATTTTCATACTAATGAGACAGGGTGTCCGTCATACCATTTCATCAAGGGGTCTTTCTCATGCCCCGTATCCATCTAATATAATCAGGTGCGTCACTATCTTTCTTGCACCCAACATTTGCCTAAGGGCCTACTCACGCAGGGATACACAGAACTGGTCTCCAGCTGCCTGACAATCACTACTCAAGTGGCCCTTCACCTTCAAACAGACAAGACTCGACTCGAGTAGCCCATATTGCCAAGTTGTTTGTGGTTTGAATAAAAAATTAATCATTTTTCGCAATGCTGAAGTACTTATTTAGTGCACTTCATTGTGTACTCAACCCCCTATACAATACCTAGTGTTTATAATAATGATATCATTATTCACTATCATTATTACCACTGTACAGAGAGATAAAAGTGAAAATTTTTTTGGTACATCCTTACATTGAAAATACTATAAATTGTAAATTATTCCTTTCAACTTGTAACTGTATAATGCCAGAAATTTTTCCACTTCTGCCACAAATTTTTAAATTGAACACTAACTAATAATTTCAATTAATTAAGGTTTTTAGTTGAGATAAAAAAATCAGTGTCATGAGTGGGATTTGAACCCACGATCTTCGGCTAGATACGCCGCTGCTCTACCACTTGAGCTGTCGTGACCTCGATCCACTCAGACACTAACTTCCCATCTCAACCCCACCTTTTGAGTTTTCCCTCCTTTTTGCCATTTTTCAAAACTGGCATTTAACAAAATTCAAAAGGTGGAGTTGAGATGGGAAGTTAGTGTCTGAGTTGATCGAGGTTCGAATCCCACTCGTGACACTGACTTTTTTATCTCAACTAAAAACCTAAATTAATTGAAATATATTAATTGGTCAAGCGGACCACGAAACTAGTGAATTTACTAAGTAATAATATTGCCATTCATCGCAGATGACAGTAGTATGAATGCAACTAGGAGACTGGAAGACTTGAATGACGGGTCTCTTGATTGCTGAATTCCTCAGTCGCTCAGAGATTGAATATCTCCGTGTGAGTAGGTCCTAAGGATTTTTCATTCCTGAACTTCTATAGCCTGAAAATGCTCTAGGTTCACACATGAAACATATGAAGTATTTTTAGCACATGCTTCTAAATCTACTTTGCACATATCATGTCAGTCCTTTAAAATGAAGAAGTGTTTTGAGAGTCCGTACATACTCTTTGGACTTTATTTTCACATCTGGATCAGTATCATCGTCCACAAAGGCTTAATATAAATTTATCAACTACTGAGGAGTTCAATCATGAGTATACATTTTAAAACTGCTAGGTTGTTTTCTTCATACAGTCAGCTTACATACTAAAGCCAAGATTCTTAGCTGAGCTTAAAATTGCAGTACACCAGCTTCAGCTTCTTTTATATGCTCAGAAAATGACACATCATCCATGTTTTCCAAGGTATGTTGTCACTATGAGACTCACTGATTTAGATGCATTGAAAATATCATTTTGTTTGTTGGATGAGAATATTTAAATTTTCTTCACAAATACAGAAACGTTTCAATCATTCTTCATCACAAAAACTCATAATAGATTTTTTTTTAAATTGTACCAAGTTGTTATTTATTTTAATCACCTGTAACTTTTGTATGCAATACGTAAGATACATTTATTATTAAATACTTACTTGCATTCATTGACATCTAGTGAGACATGAAGAAGATCGATAATATGAGTCACTCTCGTTTTATGTTCAACACATTGAATGTAATTTATCAAGTCAAAACATCTCTCGCCATTGTAGGTCATTAACATATCTAAAAAGTGATAAATGTACTCAGTAATAATTGGATGTAAAATTTTCATTAAAGTAAAGTAATTTCTGACATGAAGGTGCTGTTTATACTCCCAACAGAATCCCCATTTTTGCAGTTATAAATCATATTATTAATAAAAGTGAACAAAATGAGTTAGTAGTAGAATTGTTAAGTAGAAAAATTATTATTTATGCAATATTACTTAAAGTAGAGCCCAGATTTAAATGCAATAAAAATCTGCAAATAAGCCATTTAATATGTATCAAACCCCCACAAATATGCTATAATAATATGCTCTTAAAAAACCCACCAATATGCCATAATAAAATACACAAAAAATCCACAAATATGCCATGATAATACACAAAAACCTACAAATATTCCATAATAATATATACTTCAAAAACCCTCACAAATATGCCTTAATAATATGCACTAAAATTTTTTTTTAAAAATTGCCATAAAACACTAAAAAACTCATAAATATCCTGTAATAATATGTACTTTAAAAAAACTCATAAATACGCCATAATAATATGTAGTTATTCAGAACTCGTGAGATGTGGTCTGGTGTGACGTAGGTTTCAGAAAAACATTTTCTTTTTTGTGCCAACGTTTCGATCTTTATTGAGATCATCTTCAGGGCCTGGGATTTACAAACATTGTTTACATTTAGCAAATACATGTAGGATGTGGAAAAGAGTGAATTTATACAATGCAAAATATATTTTTTATTTATTTTTATATTCAATCAAAGTATTTCTACTCACTCAAAGTGTTTGTCTTCTGTGTAATTGTGCCATTCTTGCGTGTCGTGTTGAAAGTGCCAGTGCGATATTGCTGTTTTATGTTTATTATCAGACCGCATCTCACGATTTCTGAATAATTATCGATTAACGTTCACTAATCACCACACAATAATATGTAGTTTTAAAAACCCCCCACTAATATCCCTTAATAATACGGCATATTTTTAACACATAAAAAAATAAACTCACAAATATGCCATAATATTATGTATTAACCCCCCTCCCACAAATATGCCTTTAATATGCACTAAAAGACTCACAAATATGCAATATAATTTGCACTAAAAATATTAAAACATGTAGCATGAATGTGAGAGAAGTCATCCGACTAATAATTTATTTCTTTAACCTAGTATTTTTTCTTTTTGCTTTAATACATATTATACAAATAAATAATTAAACTTATGTTCTGAATTAAAATTGGCAATGGGATAGATTTCAAAGTTCTAGTTTCTGTACAACTGCAAGGCTTATCACTTAACAAATATTTGTACTTTAATACTTGTTGGAGCTTTCCTGTATAACAACTTTATTATTTCCATTTACGATCTCATTCATTTTCCCTAATTCAGTCAATCCATTGTTTTATCAATTTGTTCATGTTTATTTTTTTATTTTTCATGTAATATAATTCCTGAATTAAGGGGGATTTTACTAATTTTTGTTTTAATTAAAAGGAAAAACCCAATGCGCTACTTTAGAAGAAAATGGAGTTCCCACTTTCAGCATTTTTATTTATTTATTTTTTAAGTTTACTAGGTTGAAAATATGAAAGAAGAATGTCTGGCTATTTTTGTGTTTCAAATGAGGCCCCCTATTTTAACAACCTACTAATTTAGAAAAATACATTTTTCAGGAAAAGGCAACAAACTGCACCTAGAAGTTTTGGAAATTGGGGTCTCAAAAAAGATAAGTATCTTTGCAAGAGAATTATATAGTAGCAGTATATTTGTCCTGAAATCCGAATCAAATTTTAGGTTCTTTTTTTCCTCTTGTGTTCTTAGTTGCCTAATTCATTTTTACTTTTTTAAGTAAAAAAATATTTCAAATTTGCAATATTCTTGAATTCAATTTGAATCATTGTACCACAGAAGTCATACAGTCAGAATGTCAGTGAAAAGAATATGCAATTTCATACAAACTAGGCTACTTATAATTTTCATCACACTTTTTGTATAAGGTTGGTCAAAATGAATTTGTCTAGAAATCATACCATTTGTTTATACTAATACATTAAAAAAAATTGATTTTAAGAAATTTAGAAAACAATTTAGCTTTTTTAGACCATCTGAACAAAATGAAACGAATGCTGATGGTCTTGTCCTATAAAAATCCAAACATTCTTGAATCAAACAAAAATACTCAATAATTATTAATGTTTGTTCTATTATGTCAGTGTTAACAAAAAAAAAATGTTTCAACGGAAATAAAACTTGAAAGTTTCAAAAATGTCATACATAACTAATTTATCAAATAATAATCTACGAGAATGTGTTACTTAAGCTGTTTTTTGTCTGAATTTAAAATTTTATTCAAATATTCATTCTGTCCTTGATTTAACTCATAGAAAATATGTTGTGCTACAATTACATAATTTGCATGCAAGGAAATGAGAATTTTTTTATCTTACCGTTTAATGAATGTCTGCTCTCGATGCATAAGTAATTATAAACTGATGTCAGACCTTGAACCCAATTGTCGAAATTAGCTCTCCCATCTTTAATATTGCAATCACTATCTATAATATTACTGGCACAAGAAATTCTTTCATCAGTCGTACTGCAAAATATCAAACATTATTTCTCGTCAAATTAATGAAGAACTGATCTTCACTCTAAAAAAAATGCATTTAATGGAGCTCAAAGGATATCAAGTGTTCTTGTCTTTTCAAATATAAAAATACAAGAGCCAAATACTATCAACATGCAATTTAAGGATTTCTATGAGAAAATACTGAAATTATCATTTTAAAATGAGAGTTAACTAAACTTCAAGACTTTCTCTCATAAAAGAATTTATTTCAATTTTTCAAAACAATATGCATAATAATATACACACACAATATTAAACAAACAACTGTATTTTTATATATATAATTTTATTCCATACCTGCATATATCAGAGATATTGTCTTCGCTGTGCTCTTCAGAAAGGCTTACAAGCGATGTGAAAAAACCCCTGAAACATATCTCTGCCAAGCCCGTACTGCAACCGATGATATCATCAAAAGCAGTGCTATTTACATCCGCAATAACTGTGTTGGTAAAACCAATTTAAATAATTAATCCTAACTGATATACAACGGACATTGAGCTTAAAATACTTACAAATGAATAAACCTACAATTTTAAAAATTAGTCTCATTTTTATTTTCTGTCGATATTTTACTGAGCAAATGATCAAATATCTGTCGCTTGTCACTCGTATAATTTTCCCCTAATTTAACAGAAATATGATTTACCACAAAACAGGAAGCTTCCCCCTTTGAGATGTGTGGGATTGTCGTTGGGGGCTTATCTTAAGAGGAAATTGAACCCTAGGGAGGCTAAGGGCCTTTTTACTTTGTTAAAAATAAAAAATTCTAACTTTTCATCACCCATTGTATATTACTATATTTAGTTGACAATAAAAATATAATGATTTAACATTATTAATTATACATTTGGTGCATATGCAAAACAATATTATTATTATTTTTAGTTCATTCCTATTATTTCCTAAGTATTTCCAAAATACATATTTTTCAACTTAGCTGCAGTTTTGCCCCTTTCATATAAATGAAGCCAACAAAAAAATTGATTAAGATTTAGAGATTGATATGCATTGCGCATGAAACTTCTGTATTGACTCAATTTTCTTTTTACAACAGCTTTCTTTTAAAATTGACCATGTTTTGTTATTATATTTTTGTCTGCTGCGGCTGTAGGTATTTTGATCTAAATCCTTCAGCAGGACATCACTTAAACATTTTGACAATTCATGGTAAACCGGCATAGGGTCACTTATTGGGTCCGTCTTCGCTCGCGGATTTGTTGAATTATTCAAACGTGTTTCAGCATTGCGCCATCTTTAGTGGGGAACTCGTTTTGACAATTGTTCATATTTAGTTAAGGGTTTGTGTATGTAATATGTCCGTCCATAAGAACTTATAACAACCTATTTTAGGTATCATTTTATTTGTTGATTCAGTGATATTGTAACTAACATGTGAAACTATTTTGAAGAGTTGCCTGTTTAACAATTTTCTTATTCTACAAAAATTTATATTTTTATTTTATTTGATATCCTTTAAAAACAATGTTTTTCATTTTTAATCCCAAAATATTTGTATACAATGGCTGGCTCTTCCAGTCAATTTATAAATATCCATTATATATATTTAGTGGTCTTATTGGCCAATATTGACCAAATTACATCTTTCAATTAATTAATCTTTTTTTTATGTAAGGTTTTGGTTGAATTGAAAAAGTTAGTGTAACGGGGAGATTTGAAGACCTTCGGGGTGGGTTTGAATCCTGCTCATGACACTAACTTTTTCATTTCAACCAAAACCTTACATTATAAAAAAGATTAATTAATTTATAAATATCTTTTATATCCATAACGAGATTAACTGAAAATTGCCAAATGTTTACTTGATGTTTTATGAAACCTGTGAGTCTAAGTTATTATCATATATTTATATAAGTGCTGATGATAATTACTGATATTCTCTCTAAAAACCTATAGGAGAAAATAGTTAAAAAAAACAAGAGTAATGATCTAACACCAAAAAAAAAATCAAATTTTATAAACAGGAAATTGTTTTAATTAAACAAAAACTGGTAATATAATGCCTTCATCATGAAAATACTTGTTTTTGACAGGATAATATTTTTAAATTAATACATTTCAGTTATTAAAATTGGTCAAATCTTTTAATTCTATTATTAATCCATCTTTTAATTTTCCAAGGGCTTATAGTAATAAATACACTTTAGTCCTCTTATTAGTCTCGTAATTTATCTAGTTGTGTTAACCTCGTAACTTTTCATAGAACTAACTCAAACAGATTTTCCTCTTCAGTCGTCTAATGATGTGCTGACTATGCAGCAGGCCTCCATGTTCAGGTGGCTTTGAATTAGATTGTGCTTATAAGCATACTGAGTGATCTCAATGTCGAGGTGCGGGATGTTCAGATCTCTGTGTACATACCAAAAAGGATTTTCGATATTTTGCAGTACTTTATTTTGGAACCGTTATCATACATCCATATAGATTTTAACATAAGATTGTAAATCATGATTTTATTTTGCAATAACAGGCAGGAATTCATTCCCAGCAACTAATAAAGTTGTCGGTATTCGAAATCAAGTTCGTTCCTTTTTCTTTTTGATGTGTTCATTCCAATTACATTTTTTATCTATTGTTATGTCTACATGTTTCATATAATTCTGGGATAAAACTACTTTACCATTAAAGATTATTGCTTTCTCACTAATTTTCTATTTGTTATTAATTAACATGTACGGGTTTCTGGTGGTTTATTTGGAACTACCAAGTACCTGTCCAGTCATGGATGCTGTGTTCTGCCGTTTGAAGTTGGTTCAAGGACACATTTTTTGACTAAAAGGGCAGCTGTGTTACGGCAAATGTGATGGTTATGTTTTCCATTGAGGTCACTTGTACACAACAAGTGCAGCATTGGGCCTAGGATGCTACCTTGTGGTGCACCTTCATTTTGAAAAAAATTATTGTTTTTGACGGGAAGGCATACAAGTACTGATAAGCAAATATGTCAATTAACTAAGGATAGAAAAATGGTGGGTTCAATTTCTCAGGTGGCAAGATACAATTTGACATTTTATAGGTCTTCAATCCTTTTTAAAAAGATAGTTCCTACTCACAGTAAGTTGAGTCGCTGCGAGTAGGAACTATTTTTAAAAAGGTTTGAACACCGCACTCACTCCACCATTCATCATTTCTATTTTATAGGTCTTTCTTAGCAATTGAGAAATCTCTATTTTATTTATTTATTTTTATGGGGGGGAGGTCAAACCGTGTGGTTCTGGTGTTGTTGAAACATAGAAAAAACATAGGACACCCACCCAGGGTGTTAGCAGTGTGGGATCAGACATTGGTCAAGTCTAGGGGCTATGGACAGGTTTTTTCAGCCCCCAATGCAATCAGTTCCTAAATCTAAACCATTCACACTCTCACTCACTCTTAAATACATGCTTCGCTATTTACATACCATTCACTCAGGGTGGCGGATTACTTAATATTCCTCCATAACCCGTTTCACCAATATAACTAACTTAATTGAAGGTCGATTGGGTACTCAGTATTCTGCCATCAACCCTCTTACACACACTAATTTATTCACACTAATAAATACATTCACTCTTAGCCCTCACAAGGGGACAAAAATATCAGTATTATATACAATAAATCAACCCTTTTTTCTTCAAGAATTGAAACAGGGAACCCAAATACTTGCTGCTGTGCTCAAGCACAATTCTCATTTTGGGTGGTACATCAAGCAATTTTCCCTAAATGCTAAGTTTTGTCACAAAATTGTCTGGGTGTCAACCTCGCATGACCTATCCTTAAATGGGTGAAGAGTCCCTCTTTTAAGTCATTTCTTCTGAGGCCATCTATCAACAGTGCTCTCGGTAAGTTTAATTAACACCCCTGCATTTATTATTTGTGCATACCTTTTAATAATTATTGTTACAAAAATTCATATAATTTGAATGAGAAGCATTCTGTTTAACAAATATACTTTCTTGCTGCCAAGTCAAATACAAACAATAAAAATACCCACCCGTCTACAAACATTTTGAAAACACCCAAATGTGGTATATAAAAGCCAAACTTGTTGAATTAAGTTTATTAATAAAGTCTTTAGTTTTTAACAAGTGTGTTTTCTAACAAATGTTGATTTATTGTAAATTCCATTGAAAATCGATTATAAAATTCACATAATCACATTTTTTAAAAATTTACTGGGTTTATAATTATTTGTAATTTATAAAATTACAATATTATCAATTAATTATAAGGCTAATTTTTCTGTGATGCCATATAATGTTTTTAATGTACTTGATATTCGTAAGAATAAAAATGAATTATATACAAATTTTATTAAAACTAACACAATTGAAGCTAAACACCCTACTGTCTTTATAAAATTGGCAATCCCCATACCAAATATTACAAATACTTACACTAAAAACAAATATATCGCTATTAATTTATACCATTGAACAAAAATTCACAGAATTGAAGATTTGTTTTATACCAAACAGGAAAAAACACATGAGAATTGTTTTTGTTTTTAAATTTACCGTTCCTTCAATTTCACCCATTCACACATTTGTTAATCACCTTTTCATGTTTTGAAACGTTCTAATTAATTCTAAAACTAACACCTGCATATACATAACAATGAGCAAACTTCCATAATTTGTTTTATATTTTATCACAAATCTCCTCTTTATTTGAAAGGAGGCCATAATTAACATGGCAAATAATTGTTATTTGACTTCATCTGGCACTTGTGAAAAAAATGTTATGTACTACATTTGGACAGATGGATTCCTATTCATTCAATAAAACATTTGAACTCTTTTTTTTTAAAGAGAAAAAAATTCAAAATTGAATTTTAAAACAAAATTTACTATCGCTACGAGTAAATTTGTATAAAGTTCTGAAACTCAATTTTAATTACCTTAATGATTCATCAAGAATAGCATTCTTGAAATTATTTTTCTGAATATGAACAACACTATTCGTTCCCTTATGTGAATTAGCATTTTACCTGTAATACAATAGATTTAATTATTTTTGATAAAAATGTTAGATAAAGAATTTTAACTCTTTAATGTAGTTACCATATTTCTATATTTTGCAACATGAAGTGCACAATATTAACACAATTTAGCAGTAGTATATTTTTTATTTTCTCAAATGTAGATAATAAAGATATTAACATGATTACTATGTTCATGAAAGTAAAAAGGCAATACCTTAGCCATTTCAGGGCAGTGAGCGTGATATCACGCTCCAGTCTCTTCACTTTCAGACTTAAGTTCAATGCAGTATGTTGTTTAAAACGGCGTTGTTTTCTAAAGTTCCCACTTTCACTAGTGTTAAAAATAACTTTTACAGCACACTGCTTCTATGAATTTGAATCTAAAAGTGAAGAGACTAGAGCGTGATATCACGTGCTCAGTACCGGCATAGAGGTAGTGATGAGTGCGATATACTCTTTCAGTACTTATGTAGAGGTAGGGGCATGCTCAGTACCTCACTTGGCTGACCGTCCTGAAATAGTTAATTTAATTGTATGTATCATTCAACTTAGCAAGAGATTGATAAACTTTATAAGTTTAGGAATTCAATTAAAACTTCTCATTCCTACTTGTTTTTTACCCTTTGTTTTAAGCAGATAAAATTATTGAAAATTAAAATTATCACAAGGGATGAGATGAATGTTCATTTATAAAAATATAATAAAATAGCTTATTAGAAAAACTATAAAATCAAACAGTGAAAATCCTGTAGGCCATTTGCAATATTAAATCTTTCTTAACATCTTGTTTTATGAGAAAGTATATTAAAAAAAAAAATAATGATAATAATAAAATAAAAAACAAACATATTTCTATTTTTATTGAAACAAATGTAAACATAAAAACCAGTTAAGTAGTCCTAAAATATAACAATATGTTGTATGAGCAAATTCATAACTATTTTTAATCAATATGAATCTATAAAAAAATGATTAAATTAATAAACGACTAAACAAGAAACAATTTTTCAAATCTTACTGCTAACAAATAACAAATATAAATGAAGATAGGATTTTTTAAAAATTGTCCACCTTTTGATGAATTAAATACAACTTTGACATTGTAGAGTTATTCCATTTTTGTATTAACCGAACATCAATAAATACAAATTAAAATTGTAAATGTTAGCAAATTAATTTACTCACTTTACAAGAATATAAATATATATGTTAAAATTATATTATATATTATGTTAAATTTTTTACATGATTCAAGTCAATCGGTGAACCTTTAACAAGGAACATGTTTTAACAAATTTTTGTTTATAAATCGAAAACGTTCCTAGCCGGGTTAATATCTTTGTCCTTTTAGTTACAGTTTCTTTGGTACAGAATGGAACTGTCATTGTTTTAGTAATATTGAAATAGAAAACACACAATGTTTCTAAAAGTCTAAACTCCCAATATACAAAATTTTGGTTATGTTTTTGTTTAATTTTAATTTAAAAACTACTTGATCAGGGAGTATTACTCCATGAAATATTATGAAAGTAAAAACTCATGCCTCCACGTAGAATTGGAGCAAATATATATTTTTTTAACAATAAAATGACAATGGTGTCGTTTTAAGTAGTTGTTATTAATTAACTATTATGTTTTGTATTAGAGTAAAATGCTATTTCAAATTGAAATAAACAAAATTCAAGCCTTTTTTTAAATATATATTTCCTATCATAGATGAGAAACCTGAATTAAATCAAGATTTAAATCTAGAGAACTTGCCATGATTCAGTCTACATAACCTGAAACAATAACAAAATATAATGTAAAAGTTTGCTAAAACAAAATTAATTTTTAAAATGTCACACAAAATAATTCAATGTATTTGATAGAAAACCGACAAAATTTATTCTCGCAAAAAATCAAAAAGCAAAATTTCAGGTACCTGTAGAATTTGGCTGGCTTCAAAGGCAGTGCCTGGCAATAAATGAACCGGGCTAGAAACATGACCGGACTCCACACAAATCATGTTTGGAAATTCATCATCTCCAAAATCTGGATAATCCTTACTATGATCTGACCAAGGATTCCAAACAACTAAAAACACAAATACAAATATTAAAAATACACTGATTATTGGCTTTAACCTATTCAGGACTATTTGTTCTTCAAATGAGGTACTGAGAGCATGATATCGAGCTCAATTCTTTTTACTTTTAGATTCAAGTTCGCAGAAGCAGTGTGCTATTTAAGTTATTATTGTTAAGGTTAGTGAGAGTGAGAAATTTAGACACCATTTTACCGCATGGTCAATTACCTCAGTGGGGGAAGCGAGAATTCAGTACTACACTAACCATCCTGAATGAGTTAATGAAATTAGATGGGTGAAAGTTATCAATAAGTTATGACAGGGCTTTTTTTTTCACATTTTACTAACGCTATTTATGCTTACCAGTATCTGGGAAATTGTACTTCTGTATTCTCATTTTTCTTCCTGAGACCACATTCGTTATAATGTGTTCCTGAGGGGTGTTCTGATATATCCTATCAGTCCATTCGCCTATGGTTACCGACTCCCTCCCTTCTTGGTAAATTGCACCATCTCTAGTCTACACGTATATCCATTGTATGAATTAACCAGCAAATAAAAAGATTAAAAAAATTATTTACCTTATCTATAAAAGTACACCCGTGAAGTCCTGTGATTTGACACCTCCTCACATCGGGCACTTTGAAATACGTATGAAGTAGCATGTTAAAACTGAAGGTTATGTCTTTACTAGGATTATACACGCCGATTATGAAGTGCAACTCTTTCTCTCTAAGTATGAGCCGATATGTCAGGCGAAAGCTAAAATAAGTTTTTTTCTTTAAGTACAAGAACATGCAATTTATGGCAAAAGTACCATATTTTAAACAGACCACATTAGTAAAATTGGCTTGAATATTAATTAAAAACCAACTTAACAATAAATGACTTCACTATTTAGGTTCGTTTTCTTAAGTAAGGCAAAGGTACCATCCTCCCTCTTCTCAATTTATATTACATTTGAACATTGCTTTATTTCAAATTATTATTGCTTATTTTTGTACATTTTTTAATTATTCAATGATTCTCAATTCTCTAAATAAATCATTGAATAATTCAAAAAATGTACAAAAAGAAGCAATAATTGGAAATAAACGTTCAAATATAATATAAAGTGAGAAAGGAGGGAAAGGCCAGAGTAGTAGTGTATTGTAGAAATGAGAGATTACATAAGTATGGTATAATAATTAGTATATTACGGATAGTTCCACATGGATCTCGTCCAGTCACTGTCCATGGTGGAAAATATTGCTTCCACGTCACCACTAGGTAGTCGTTCGGGACCCTTTTCGAGGTTCCATCTAACAACTTGAGCAAAGCCATGGTGTGGCCCATAATTCCACGGTCCAAATTGAGCTAAAGAGGAACATGGATTTAGTTATCAATTAAATGAAGAAAAAAAAATTACAAAACAATATTGACTTACGGAAGACAAAAGGGATTCCTCCACGAATAGGTTGCTTCCCATCAAAAACTGCTTGCTTGCTGTAAATAAAATAAATAATTACGTGTGGTGTTTACTGACCATTAATTAATAATTATTTGAAGATTGTGAGATGAGGTCTGGTGTGACGTAGGTTTTAGAATAACTTGTTCTTTATCGTGCCAACATTTTGATCTTTATTGAGATCATTTTCAGGGCTCAAAGTGTTTGTTTTCTGCGTAATTGTGTCATTCTTGTGTGCCGTGGTGAGAGTGGGCACACAAGATCATGAGATTCGGTCTGGTATGTCGCAGGTTTAGAAAAACATTTTCTTTATCGTGCCAACATTTCAATCTTTATTGTGCCGTGAAGATGATCTCAATAAAGATTGAAACATTGGCATGATAAAGAAAATGTTTTTCTAAACCTACGTTAAACCAGACCGCATCTCACGATCTCCAAATAATTATGTATTATACAGTTAATTTATATGAGTTAAAGAGATTGCTATTCCAGTGTTTTGTTAGCCCTCCAGCCTACAAACAAACACTGTTTAGTCTGACCTTTAAAAATGAACACTACAAATTTAACTCAAACTGAACTGGTGTAGGGTCCTTATTGGGTCCGTGTTCACTCGTGGGTTTGTTACATTACTCAAACGCATTTCGGCATTTTTCACTGAGTCACAGACCAACACTCATCATCAACTCTACCAATTTAATGTTAAAGGCTAAAATGTTGTATCAAAGGATACAATAATCTATACCCTATTTATTATTATTTGATTATTGTGGATACCAGGAATTGGAGGAGTTCCCTCTGTACTGCAGCTTTACAGCTTACAGTACTCCATCTTGGTTCCATTTTTGGGAGCTAACAATACATGTGTGAATTGAGCCCCAAGTGTGCTTATGCGTTCATCCACCAAAGAAACTCGTGTTTGAAGGGGGCGGGACCAAATTCTGGGTCGCTGGGATCCGATCCTGCCAGACCTTTCATTGATGAGTACCGCGGTCAATTTTCATCGCTGCCAACTTGTCAGCAAAAAAGTCTAGAGGTAATAGTGGGAACGGATCTACTAGGATCTAACCACTCGGCTACTGCAGTCCCCTAAAAAAAGCTTATAAACACTCCGTTTGGTCCGACCTTTAAAAATTTATACTACAATTTTAACACTAAAGGTTAAAATGTTGTATCAAAAAATACAATAATCTATACCACACTTAATATTGGGTCTTATGCAAAACAGTTTTTTTCTGATATAAATTATAAACTTTATCTAAGGCAATTTATCTCTGAGTGTTCTTAGAGTGAGATAATTTTTTTAGGAGTGAAAAAATAATGATTAAGCTTTTTTTTTTTATTAAACGCAAACTCACCTTACGAATAGTTGTTCTTGATTATTTACCCTCCAGGAAACAACTGTCGCTCCTAAACAGAAGAAAAACAGCTATTAGGTTTGTCCGTTGTCGGGCTGAGTGAAAATTATGGAAGGACGAGTTGGGTAGCGTTCCATTGGAAACAGGCGGGCACAAAGCCACAAACAATAAAATACGTAATTAACTTGATAAAGAGGCCTATTTAATAAAGTTCAACCGTGAAAAAATTCTATTTAAAAACCGATTAACGTTCAAAACGGGCAAAGGATTCTTGAAAAGGTGAAATCGCGGGGAGAGGGAAAAGACAGAGGACAAAAGACAGTTTTTTTTATACACGCACTTTCCGGATTTTTTTTCGCCCCCCAACAAAAGGAAAACGGGATTTTTCCAGTGAAAAATGACGAAAATCGGGCTGAAATCGGTTGGCCGGAGTAAAACCCGGGGCCGGGAAAACTTCAACGGGCCCGGAACGATTAAAAACCGGCGGCCGGAGGCGATACGAGTCGGGGAAGGTGCATAAAAAACAGTCCACCGATAATAACGAACCCAATCTCGGCGCGTCAAGAGTTGATATTTATAAAAATCGGCTCGAAATGATATTTTCCGGCCCGTTTACAAGTCGAACAGAGTATAAATGTTGAATTACCGTGTAAATTAATGGTGCAGGTTGTATTATTTCCTCTATCTAGGACGACGACACTAGTCGGCGCTGCCATGTTCGAAAACCGAAACGTCCACTGAGTGAGAAACACAACAAATACAAGATATCGCTATACGTTCACCAGTGGCGTTTCTAGGGTATACACGACCCACTTTGGGCCGATATCGAAATGATCAAATCGACAGTTTTTAAACAGAGCCGGAAATTCCGTCTCTACGATTTATTTCCGATTATCTCGTACGAAAAATGATCCTCGAAACGAGAAATGTCGAGACCCTGCACCTAGAACGGATCACTTGCCGCACGGGATATCGACCAAAGAGTGGGAAAAAACGGTTCAAAAAAATTTCCAGGATAAACCAATAACAATTCGCCCCTTTTCCCAAACGGACCGCTAAACAAATTCTCTCCCGACTGCCGAGAAGAAAAATAAGTTTTCCCGTTTTATTTCGTACCACCAGAAATTCGCCTGTCAGTTTATTTCAATCTGTCGATAATTAGAAATAAAAATTAACCTTTGGTCTGCCCATAAAAGAATACCCTAAGCCCCGGAACCTAGAGAGCTCGGTGAACGGCGGCAAAATTGAAATAAACTGCTCAAAAATGAATAGGAATATTTGTAATTTATTTATTTATTTAATTTTTTTACGAGGGTTCGCAGCAGCGGAGGTCATATCAACCCTTGTGGTGCCGGTGTTTTTTAAAAAAAAGCCCATTTGTCAGTATGTCGGGTTCGAATGCAGGGCCGCTGGATTCGAACCCGGGACCTTTACCTTACAGTGATGAGCGCCGAGTCAACGTCTAAACCGTTGCGGCACCCACACCCCATAATTTACTCTTATTCTACAAATTTTAATTAAATTAGCTGATCTATTCTTGTTAGTTAGATAAAACAAAATAGAAAATACAAACAACAAGCAAATGTTATTCCTCATTTTTAATAACGGATTTACTTGAGAATAGTAAACATGAAGATTATTCATTTTGTAAAGCTGTTTTCGTCTTTTCTCTATTGCATCCAGTTGTATTAACTAAGGAAAGACATAATCTTGAACAAGAAGTTCGCAATATTATTGTGAGAATGAGCCATTGTGATCACCAAGTGGATATCGCAGATGCAGTAGGCGCTTCTCAGAGCGTGGTCTCCCGGGCTTTAACTTCTGCAATGAAGAAGAGGAAACAGCCACCCATATCATCTTCGAATACGAAGCAACAGCTCAATGGAGATTTAACCTAATATATAGAAAAAACCTAGGGAATGAAATTTTAGCAGCGACAGTCAATGACCTGATACTTCTGAGAAGAAGGATTGAGTCTATTGCATTGAACTAGGGAACTAGGGAGGTATAATAAGCCAGAAGGTTGCAGTGCCTGGGGAGCCCAACCCTGCTTCCTAGTATCCTCATCACCATCACCCGGACTTTAGTCCGATTCCAAGAGACTGGAAGTGCCAATAGGAGCCTAGGAGATCTCGTAGTGATTAGGGGGGGGGGGACATTGTCATTACTTTAAGACGGAACCCGCCAGATCCTAAATGAAGTACAAGATGCTTTGGCAATACCTTTATCAACTCAAATAATTGATAAGCGTTGTGGGAAGTTGGCCTCACATTGTATGCCCCTTTGAGACAAACTGTAGCACCAGCCCGCAACCAGCAACTCAGGAGAATATGGTCCAATGAGTGCCTAGAAGGGAACACCAATAAGAATGCTATTATGATTACTGATGAATCGCATATCTGTCTGTATAATGATAGCAAGAGCTGACGTATCTACCGAGAACAGTGGATGCGTACAATGCCCCAGTTGGTGCTCCCTTAAGTGCAGTTTGGAGAAGGCAATGTAATGATCTGGGCTGATTTACATAATTTAAAATATTACGTATGGCCATTTTCTTTGCCTCTCAATGTTGATCTATTGTGGTATACGTAAACCATATCTTGGAATGTGCTCTTTTTGCTATAAGACTTTCTTTGGTGCCTCTTCACACATCTCTTTTGGTTTGAGAATTGCCTTACTGTGGCAGTAATATAACTGGGTTAATGCTTCCCATCCACAAATTGTACGTTCTGATTTCTTCCTGACAGAGTTGGCATGTTTCTACTTCTGCTTTGCCCATCTTCTTTAGGTGGTAGTTAAGAGGGCAGTGGCCAGTAGATAGATAGAAGATAGATAGATTATATAGAAGCCAGCCTCTTTACAACCTGTGCACCACGACCAGCATTGGTCTCTTGGGCCATTCCATTTTTTATCTAGAGCTCCTTGTTAAGCTTGAGGCAGCACAAGAATGTGGAAGTGTCTACACTCCTACATAATTGAAACACCGTTAGAAGATTAAAAAGAACAAAGCCATATGAACTAGTGTAGTTAAAAATTAGTGAATAGTGAAATGTAAATCTTATTGTACCAATGGTTTATAAGAATTTAAATATTTATTTATTTTATATATATTATTGTAAAATTAATGGTTGGTCTAATAAATTAAATAAATAAAAAATTCTTCCAGACTCTCTTTGAAAAGCTTATTTATAATTGATGACTTTGGAAGTTTGGTGTGGGCCAAATTTAAACTCTCATCAGTAGATGCTAATTTGGTCAGTCTGTCAGCTTCTTCATTTTCCTCTATTCCTCAAAAAGCCTTAACCCAGCAGTACATTAACATTCTGTTTCACTAGAGATTGAATAATTAAATTTTTTTTCATTAATTAATTAAGGCGCCCATGTGTCAACCGTGTACTTTTTATTGTTGATTTTTATTTTGAGATGAGGTAGAAGGTAATTTGGACATTTAAAATTGTTCTACAAAGATAGGGATAAAAGAGGCAGCCATAAGGCCTTCTGCACCTCGACCTGAGTAGATCTGTTGTGCTCCCCTGTTTTTTATAATTCACTGGCCAGCTTCAGGTTGTTAATCAGCCTCTATAGCTTTGCCAGCAGCTCCTTAGTATAGTATCTTGCATAATGTTTTTCTTCTCGTAGTTATAAGAACCTGCACCTACATAGACCTTCACAGAAATATAAAATGTGTTCTGCAGTCGTCTCCTCTTCCTGGCAGTATCTGCACAGTGTTTCTTCTGTTTGTACTCCTATCTGGTACATGTGCTTTCTTAAGCGGCAATGTCCTGTCAGAAGTCCAACCAGAATCCTAGTCTGGTTGCGGTTCCTTTCAGTAATTTTTTTGTAAGTTTTGCAGATGGTCCTTCTATTAATTTTTTTTGCGTGCAACTTGTGGTATTGTTCCACCAGGTTTTCGACTCATTAAGGATCCATTTTAAGATGTATCCTCTTTTGTAGCAGGATGCTAAGCCACAGTAGGGTTCAGGACCCAGAAAGTCCCTGTTGGCCCCCTCTTGGGTCTGGCTTTTCATTGCCTCTATGCCCGGTGCCCAGGGACCCATGTCAGGGTCTGGTCATTTGTGTTGCTGACTTCCCTCAGGGCCTCCATGCAGTTCCAAACATTCTTTGCCTTCGCCTTGCATGAATGCCCTATATGCTGCCTGACTGTCAGAGAAAATGGCTATCTTCTGAGAATGTAGTCCTAGCTTTTTTATTTCCATGGTGCAGTGTTAAATTGCTATGACTTCAAACTGGAAAACTGTAGAATATTTACTTAGGTTTACCGTTGGCTCAGTCTTTGGATTCATCCTGAAGACTCCAGCACCGTGCTTTTGTTGGTTTTGGAGTCATCAGTGTACCAGCAGGAGTTTGCTTTTAGCAGTGTTCCTTTAGCCCTTTCTGGTAGCAGTACCTTGTACTTTTTAGTAGAATTGTATTTTGTACTAGTGGCATCAATTGGCATGCCTAAAATGGCATCTGCCTTTATCTTCTCCTTCAGTTTCCATTGTTTATTTACATGGCCTAAATCCTTGCAGATGGTTGTCCATTTACGATGGAGCCTGTGGGCTGCTGCTCTGGCTTTTCCTTGGATTAAAATATGAAGTGGTGGGAGGTTTAACAACACTTCCAGGGCCGAAGTTGGCGTTGTTCATGGCTCTAGTGACACTGAGACAGGCTTGTCTTTGGGTGCCTTATCGCTTTGGCCTGAAAAATCTTGGCCCACCACACCACCAACCCATATGCCAATGGTCTTAAGATGCAGGTGTATAGCAAAGAGAGATTTTGGAGTTTAAGCCCTAGTTTAAGGCGCAATGCCTTCTGCACCTCCCCCAAGCAATTTTGGCTTTCTGGGTGGTTTTAGTTAAGTGTGGATTGTTTTGGATTGATAGAAAGGCTGTGGGTGCATTGTTAAAAGCTCCCTCTATATCCATAAAAAGTGTAAGAGCTATTTCCTTGTTGTTTATGGACTTGGTTAGGCATTTACACAGGTCATCCAGGGATCTCTGTGGATATCCCTGGTTGGTATGTGACAGATACAAAGAACTCCATTCTTCAAAATTATGGAAGCAGTCGACAATGAAATCCGTAAATAAAATTCCTGATCCCATTTACCCTGATGATTTCCACCCAATATCCACTCTAATCTCTTGCTAAACCCCTTGAAAAATTTACAAATGTCTTTTTAGTTAGAGACTTCAAATGTCTTTATCCCACTCCAATTTAGTTTTCGTCCTGGCTTTTTCATACAATCTGTTGTCCTAAAATTTTTGTAGCATACAGATGGCTATCGACTAAGGTAAAATTACAATTCTTGTTTTCCTAGACCTCTTTAAAGCCTTTGATACAGTAGATCTTTCCCTTTTCTTTGCTAAACTCAAAACATTAATCACAAGTTTAACAACATCTCCAGAGCCACATTTGGCGTTGTCCTCATGGCTCCGGTGACACTGAAACAAGCTTGTCATTGGGTGCCACTTAATAACCTGACTGCTTTGGCCTGAAGAGTCTTGTTCCACCACACCACCGACCCATATGTCAACATTGGTCTTAAGATGCGGGTGTACAGCCATAGGGTCATTTTGGGGTTTAAGCCCCAGTTTTTGGTCCAGAGCCTTCTATTTCTATTCGGCTCTCTGGGTGGTTTTGGCCATGTGTGGATTCCAAGTGAGCCGTTGGTATAGTGTGATCCCTAGATATTTGGCCTCCTTGGAAAATGGGATGACCCGTTTAGACTTGGAATTTCCTTGTGGATGGAACCATTATGGTTTTGTGGGCGTTGACAGATAGCTCCTCCCTTTGCACCACCTGTCAACCAGGTTGAGTGCTCGTTGTATACGATGATGAATCATCACAGTGTTTGCATGACAGCCTTTTACTAGTACAAGGTCGTTCGCATAGCCTAAGCAGTATAATCCTTTTTGTTCCAACTTTTGTAGGAGTTCGTCTACCAGGGTCATCCACAACGGGAAAGTCGTGTTCATGTATTTTCTGGGAAAGAAAAGGGAAAAAAGCCGCCAGTTCAGGGTTTCTAAATAGTCTAGACTCAATTACGAATCTAGCGCGAAATCCGATTCAGTTTGAATCCTAAGGCTCGTTTCTGGGTACTGTAATTTCTAGCCCCTTTGTGGAAATCTGTGTACCCAGTGTGAAAAATTTGTGATGAAGACGTGATGCGCGTTCGAAGTTTCGAACCTCGTACAAGAAGTAAAAGGTAAAAATATCAGGAAATAGAGAGTCGGTAACCTTCGATTTAGTTGAGCACCGAGTCCGCGAGAGGGTGCCCGTGCCGACCTCGTGGGTTCTCAGAGCAAACGCCATTTTTGTATTCCCTTTCGTAGGAACTGAGTTCTCGTCTTGTACCCGGAGTCGCAGTTCGCCACACATTTTTTGGACTTATTAGTTTTTTTACGATTTTTCTTTAGTTGTCTTTATTTTACCGTTCTTAACGCGGAGGCAGCCTTAGATAGGTGGATACGCCGATAGAAATGAGTACGACACAATACGGCATAGGCGTGACGAAGAATCGCTTCGAACTCGCCGACATATTCGACGAGGACCCTCTGGAAGTGCTCAAGATACACGAGCAGGAGAGAGAGGCGAAGAAAAAGACGAAACTTTCCGAAAAGGAGAACAAAGGGAAAGAGCCTCCGGCGAAGCCCAAAGCCCCGGCCCCGAGAGGCAAAGGCATCAAAGAGACACAAAATCTCAAGCCCCAGGAGCAGAAAGGAAAAGAAGGTATTCTCTTTTTAAAAGTTTTTTTGTTTTTTAAAACTTCTTAACAACCGCGGCTTTATTAATAAAACTCGCCGCACTCCGCGTGTCTTTTATTCGACCTTCGGTTTTTCGCTCGGACCTCGGGGGGGTGGCCGTCCAGGTGGAAGACGCGACCGATCGTCGTTTCTGTCGGACCTGATATAACGTGTCGCATCCATCTCAATTTTTTTGTTCCAAAAGGGACTCGTTATTTGGAAAAAAGTGGGAAAAGTTTTTTTTTTTATCCCTCGTCTCCAGTCTTAATTTAACTTTTTTCACCCTCACTCGTTTTCCATTTGACCTGAATTAGAAACTCGGCTTTTTATACACGCGGCTCCACCGCGAGGGTTGCCACCCGATTTGGCCGATTTTCAATATACGCGATCCACAAATTAAATAAAAATCCTATATAACAATTATTATCATTAACCCTTTTTTGTTTAAAAGTAAAACCAACAATGACATTACTATAAAAAGATGGAAATTCTATCACAAATTCATCTGTTGCCAATGACCATACCAAACAGTTGATACTAAACCAGAGTTTTGTGCATAATTATTGGCTTTGTTCCTTTTCAAAAGAATCCGTTTATTTATTTTCCCCCTTTTGTAAAGTACTAGTGGTAAACAAGATTTTCTTTTGTGATAAATCGAGTTAATTCGCCCTGAACTGGACGTAACAATTGTGTAGCACATGTCCATAAATTTATAACAACACCTTGCGAAGTATACTCGATGAATAAACACACAATAAAACAAACAAAATAAATTGGTTAAAATTGGAGTTTTTAAATTGTGAAATGTGTTTGAAATGTTTAAATTAAGCTTTCATCGCTTGGATGATATCATCCGTCTTCGTGTTTGTAACAAGTAGCCATTTTGTAACTGTTATTCCAAGTACACATTTTTTATGGCCTTATCAGTTGATATCTGGCCAAAGTAAGTTTAAGCGATCACCCAACATCCCCAAAATTGCCTGGAGGGGTGAAGGCTCTGTGCTAAAAGTGGGGTACTAAACCGCAAAAATGACTGTGGTTCTACGCCTGTGTCATAAGACCAATGACTAAAATCACAAGGCCGGTGGTGTGGTAGACCAAGACGTTTGTTATTAGGTGACCCTCAAAACTTGCCTTAGTGTCACTCGAGAGAACAAATGCCAATGCATCCTTGGAGGTGCAGCTAAATCTTCCACCACTCCATATTCTAATCCAAGAATAAGCCAGAGCAGGGGCTCATAAATGGACAACCATCTGCAAGGAATAGGTCATTTCAACGAACGATGGAAACTGAGGGAGGAGATGCAGGCAGATATCATAATGTAGTACCTTTCCGTAAAATTATAATAGCACCTTCTTGTAAGGTATCCCATTGAATAAACACACAATAAAACAAAAAATTAAAAAATAAATTTTTACAAGTTGCAGTTTGTAAATTGTGAAATGTTTAAATAGAGCTTTTAACATCGCTGCGATAACATGCACCTTTGCTTTTGTATGTAACAGTGGCTGTTTTGTAACTGTTATACCAATTAGACAAGTATTATTATTTTTACGGCCTTATCAGTTGTTACCCGGTCTAAGTAACTTTTTCAGCTGCATCCAGATCACACAAGACCCTCCCTCCAAAAAGAGCCAAAATTGCCTGAGGGAGGTGCAGAAGGCTCTGTGCCATAACACTAATGTTGACATATGGGTCAGAGTGGACCAAGATATTGCGAAGGTGATCAGATTCTTTGGTGGCACTCAAAGACAAGTTTGCCTGTGTCACTGGAACCATGAGAATAATGCCAAAATAGAAATACCTCTGAAGACCAATTTCTACTGGTATACTGACGGCTCAAAAGCGGAAAGAGGCACTGGAGCTGAGTCTTTGGGATGAATCCGAAGACCGAACTGACTTTAAACTTAGGCTGTTGTTTTCCAGACTGAAATTATAGCAATTGAAGCCTGCACCAGAGTAATAAAAAGATTAGGAACATATTCCAGGAAGATAACCATTTTCTCTGGCAGTTAGGTGGCTCTTGAGGCCTTAGCGTCATGAGAGGTAAAGGTGCAAATGGAATTTATACAATACCTGGCAGAAATCAGTGACACCAAGGACCTGACATGGGTCCCTGGGCATTCAGAACACAGAGGTAATGAGAAAGTGGACATGTTGGCCAAAAAATGGGCCTATATGAATTCTCTAGGCCCTGAACTGTACCAGCAAAGAAATTCATAGAAGGGCCATCTACAAGACTTACAAAGGAATTACTGGACGGTAACCGCAACAGAATTAGGATGCCTCTTAAGCCGCCTAAGAAGGCACATGCATTGGATAGGAGTACATACAGAAGAAATGCTGTGTAGATATTACTAAGAAAAAGAAATGACCGCAGAACACGTGTTTTTATTTTTATTTATTTATTTTTTATTTTTCTTTTGAGGGTCTAAGTAGATTCTTGCAACTATGAGAGGAAAAGCTGCAAGCAAGTTGCTATGCAATGCTGGCACAGCTAGGAGGTACCTGAAATAGACCCTTTACATGAAATTTAAACTCCAAGGCTTCAGGCCGATTCTATATAGATTCGTACTACCTGCCAAAGCCATGCCCCGTTCTCAAACATGAAAGATTTTCCTTTTTCTACCTCAGCAAACCATGGCTTATAAATCACTTTAGGAAATAAGGATCATAATATTTACCCACTTCAACAGTTGGACAAATTTTGCCACTTCTCCATAGGTTTCTGCCCATTACAGCCATTGTTTCATATCCTACTACTACAGTCGGTCAGGCCAATTTGTCTGCCTTTTTGTTAAAGCTAATGTCAGCATGACCTCTTGAGTACACAGAACAAGATCTCAACCAAAAAGGTTTTTTTTTTTTTTTTTTTTTTTTTTTTTTAATGACTATACCTCTTTGTATTAGCCAGGTTCTGTGTTGATTAGTATTTTCAGTATTCATATTTTTGGGAGAAAGAGTAGTATGAAAGAAAAACAGACAATTTAGTGAGTGAATTTTGGTGGGCAATTAAAATTTGACTCATTCAGTTTTACACCATCATTTTGAAAATGTGAAATCATGCAGATCTCTCCTATGGCCTCCCAGTTGATGATACGAGTTAGGCACTTATGGACCAAGGGTGCTGATATCAGAATAATTCAATTTTGCACAAAATTCGACTTGTACACTTATTATTCATACAGAATTATTAACTGAATTAACAAAGGTTTGATGATTTACCAAACTGATAACGAGTGTAATTCTAACAAAGCACACTGGAAAATGCCAAAAGAGAATTTCTGAAAAAATAATAACACCATTAGAATCAACTAATTTATAATAAAGTATACATGGTTAGAAAGAGAAACAGTTCCTTAGTTGTTAAATTTCTGATATAGATTGAGCAGGTGTTGTTCATTGTAAATTTATCTCGTAATTTCCTTATTGAAACTGTAGCTTTCAATATTGTAAATATGTCCATGTTAACCTTGAAAATTTAATAATAATATCAGAGTCCTTATAAAAGGGTTATATGTAACTGTATTTTATTTCAAATTGATCTTATCCATGATTTTTAATATAAAATAATAATTAATCTATTGAAGGTAATTTGTGTATACATAAGTCTGATTTTAAGAGCGATTTTATTCAAAGATTCCCTACCTAGGAACAAGTAAAAGTCAAACGGCAAGGGGCAAGGTCTGGAGAATGAGTATTGAGGGTAGTGGGGTACTGTTGCCAAACAAACTTGGCGATTTTACTCTGACAAAGTGAAGCTATGTGAGGCCTGGTGTCATGGTGAAACATGATGTTGCACCTATTCATCAGAGCTGGATGTTTGTCCTTCAACACTAACCCAAGATGCAACTATAAAGAAGAGGAAGAATTCAGAAGAGCATCAGATACAATAATATGGCACATAGATGACTCCAGAACAAACAAAGGCATCAGATTGGGTGTTTTCTGTACAAGCCCAAAATATGAGCAGTCAAACTCATTAGGGAAGTACACTAAAGTCTTTCAAGTAGAAATGCATGCCATCAGTGCTTGTGCCCTAGAAAATCATAAAAGAGTAAAATATCATTGATAAGATTGGATAGCTAAGCAGCTATTAAACTTAGCTTGTAAAACAATCACATCAAAATTAATCAGTCAATGCACCCAACATCTCCAAAACCTGGGGAAATACAACAACCTGATGATATCTTGGGTGCCAGGGCACAAGGGAATTTTGGGTAACGAGAAAGCAGACAGACTGGCCAGAGGAGGATCTGCAAGACCATACACAGGCCCCAAACCTATACTTACTATAACAAAAATAAATATAGAATCCTCCATTGCAGAATAGATCCAAACAAAACAAAAGAACTGAATGAACTCAAGCGGCACTAGACCACAGTGAACTAAAACAACCCTCAATGAGATAGGCAAACTTGCGAAGCAGCAGCTCAATGGAGACATAACCTAGCATACTGAAAAAAGCTAGGGAATGAATTGTAGCAAGCAGTCAATTACCTATATTTCTGGGAAGAAAGATTGAGTCTGTTGCAGTGAAGTAGGGAACTAGGAAGGTACAATAAGCCAGAAGGCCTCAGTGCCCGGGGAGCACAAACCCCGCTTGCTAGTACCCTCATCACCATCATCATCAACCCAAGATGTTCTACCTAGACACTGTATACCTCTGCCTTAAGGTTTGGGTTGCATGATAAGTTCCCAATAAATTATTCTTCAAATAGCCCACCAAACAGACTTAAGGAGGGGGCAATCCTGCCTTTGACATTTGAAGGCGGTGTTTTATTCTTCTATGGTTGGTTTTTCGGCATTTAACATTTTTTCTTTTCATCCCCAGTGAAATGGGAAATAAACTTTTACGGTTTATTCTGAGGGACAAGGTCCAAGAGTTCAAAAACCCATGGATCGAGTTACATAATGTATCCCAGTGATCGGATTCTTCTTTCTATTGTCTTGTGATGTACCTGATATCTGTTTGATGGTTCTGATAGTTATGAAATTTTAAGATTTTCACCAAATTCCAATTCGATAGTTTTAAGTGTTTTCACAGTTTAATCCCCCCCCCAAAAAAAAATATCAGACATCCTGGAAATTGGATATCTTATCAACTTATCAGCATGATTTCTGTTCAATTTAATGATTTGCCACGTTTGATTTTCAAGACAGAAAATAGTTCATGTCTTTTGATAAAAGCGAAATAAAACACAAAACTTTTAGTCTTTTTTTTTCTTTTGTTAATTTGGAAATTATATTTGTACAAATATACCTTTCTAGCATAAGACTAATATTTAGCATTGGTTTCCTTCTGGAAGAATTGATTGTTTAATTTATGTTGGAATTTAGCAAATTATAAGTAGTAATAAATAGCAAATGTTGGAAATGTATCAATTCTTTATAAGAACATAAAATTACTGACTATGCATAACCAGTTGGCTTAAGCAATCGATTAGTTAGTATATTTTATATAGTAGTATAGTTTTTGAGATTTTTATTTGTGATAATAAATAAATTTATGCATTTGTCAATAGAAAAGGCTAGGGGCCCAAGGCTAGAACGTGGCCCAGGTGGTGGTGCTAGCCAGAGTGCTGGACCTGGAGGTGATCGGAAATTTCAGGATAATCGCGAGGAAGTTAAAAACCGAAGAAACAGGGAGGATCGTCCTCAAGGAGATTTCCACAGGTAATGTAACTGTTAATTTTTTAAATATATTCAATGTGCAATTTGTTATTTTGTTAATGATTATAAAATAATAGTTGCAAGGCTGTCTGCTTGCATTTTTGGACATGTTGATTGCCCTTGGACTGATCCGACAGGACTGAAATCTGCAAAACTAGAAATCTAAATTTTAAAAGATAGACAAAAAGTAATAGGATAATTTTTTAAAAATCTAAAGCAATAAGAAAAATTACCATCTCTGTAAACAAGATATCTTTNGGAAAAATTACATGTAAAAAAATAGTAGGTGAAGTTAAAAATTAACCTTTCTCTAGAGAGGGTCTTGTTGGAAAAGTCTAAATTTACTAAACAAATGAAATTAACCGTGCCTCAGTTGTAACTAAATAATGTGTTAAAACCTAAAGTCATTTTAAAATTTAGAGCTAAACGAGTTAGCACCACATTTCATCTACAAGTTGGGGTTATATGAAGGCTAGGGACAAATTTAAGCGGAAAAACGTGGCAGAATTTCATTCATGTAATTTCACACCATCCTAGCAAGTAGAAATGTTCCAGAACCGCCATATCTGGGTAACAAAACATCATCCATCATAATACCTGTGACATTGCCACACCGACACATAAATTTGGCATGTGAATATGGCTTGTTTAAATTTAGTATCCTTCTTGGCTGTACAGCATCATAGTTTATTTAAGAGTTCATCAAAAGATTTAACATACATTCAATAATACTTAAAGAATTTGTCTGGATGCTGTCTTTTTCATATTGGCAATTATACTGGCCTCCTCAAATGAATCAAACATTCTAAATTGCAAGGTATGAACAGCATATTCTTTACATTTTTTTCACCTTCTGGAGCTTTATGGATACATACAATCTGTTGAATATCTGTTATTTTATTTTATTTTTTTTTTACACCACAACTATAGTTCCGTCACAGAACTGAAGCTAAATTTCTGTGTGATCTGCTCAGATTTGGTGTAATGGCCGAGACGGAATTCAGTTGAATGAATGAAATTTCTCACATGAAAATCTCTTTTAGATTTGACCCTACCGTAGTAAGAAACTCCTGTATTAATCGGTAAAATTCTTATATTGCTTTACATATTTACAGGGAAGACAGACCAGAAAAGACTGAAAGAAGAGATTACCGAAATGACAAGAACACATTTTACGGAGATTTGAATTCAGAAAACCGAGGACGCGGTGTGCGTGGTGGCCGTGGTGGATTCAGTGGACGTGGTCGAGCTGGTCGAGGTGGGGGCTCCCGACAGAGCTTTGATGCGCGAGGAAAGCGTGAATATGATAGACAGTCTGGCAGTGACAAAACGTAAGATTGGCTTAAATTATTAGTTTTAGTTTTAAACCTTATGAAAGATATTTGGGGTTTAATTATAAAGAATAAAATAGAATTTTGTATTAAATTAAGGCTGACTTGACTGTATAGGTTCTAAATATTCTAGTAAATTGGGATTTTTTTTTATCAAGTTCTATTAATAAAGTTGATAATTGACCCTCCATGTTGTATGCTTGTGTGTGTTCGTATGTGTGGAACAATTACTAAATAATTGAAATTTTACTTATTTAATTTAACAGTCTAAAATGATGAACTTGCATAAATCAAATTGATACAAAAAAAGCTGCAATAATATTTAAAATTAAATTCATAATTACTATTGTTACCATTTTCTGGTGTTCTAACAATTTAGCCTATGTTGGTATGCTAAATGCAATGCTTTTCTATTTAAAATGCTTAAAAGTTTAATGATGGCTTGGCATGAACATTCAACATTTATTGCTAATAGTCATGAGTGCACTAATCAATATTCCATTTGTTTATATGTTAAATTTCAAGATTGTGAGGCAATGAGTAGTGGGTTTTGAATTGAAATCTGGTCTCTGTACTCTCGCTATTAGTTCAGTTACAATAAGCAAGATTCAGTTGATTTCAGGCTAATAGTGAAAATAAGTGAACCAGATTAAACAGTTAACACATACACCGCAGGACCTATTTCATTGAACAAGTTTATCATGGGTATATTTTTTTTTAGAGCTTGGTGCCACGGTAGCATCATCTGCCTGGTGAATTAACTCATTGATGATGCCTCCGTGGTGTCATCCGCAGTGAAAGTGTTAATTGATCTAATTTATAATTTTTAACCTAAATAAGAATGTATATTGATTTAAATTTGCATTCATAAGGCCTTAGTTGCATGATATTTTAAATATGAATTTAGTAAATAGACAACTCCACAGTAAGTATAATTGCATGTTATATTTATTTCTGTAAGTACTTACATTTACCTTGTGCCAGTATAATTACTTACCTAGGAATGCATACGTTATTTTGTTTTAGTTATTAAGGAGGAATTTAAACATTTCTAAGATTGGTTATTTTTTATTTTTTTAAGGCCCTTTAGAAATGTCTCACCTCTACATTTCATAAACCTCCACTGTTTACTATGAAAAGGAAAACAGAAATGTACTAATTTGTGGCATAACGCAAGAAAAAATTGCATCTTATGCTCACAAGCTTTATCTTACAGTTATTATTATAATTACAATAATATTGATTTGTCGCAAATGCTTACTAATGGAAGGAGTCATTACAGTGGTGTGAAATCCGTTGACAAGAGGGATGGGTCAGGAGCTCATAACTGGGGGAACCACCGTGATGATCTTGAGTAAGTACTACTTTAGTGCATCAATAGAATTTTTTTACATAGATAAGCACAACAGAGCATGTTAGTTACATTTTTATTTCAATTCTGTTGTAACATTTTTTTTAAATTTTTTTTTAATCCAAAGACAAATGGTCGCAATGGTTTACAACATCAGTATGTTATGTACGCTGTTAAATGTAAACTGGGAGTGAAAATTGTAAAGATTGTATGGGAGTTGTGGAGAAAAGTATTTTGAAAATTTCATAAATAATTGACTAATAAAATATAAAATGCCTTAATTATTGACATTGTGTAATTAGATTTACGAGTAGTAATTAAAGTGAAAAGTCATCCTGAAAAATAAATATTTCAAAAGTTTAAAATCCATACTTTTACAAGAACCAGTAGAACTGTTACTAATTGCCTAAACAGTACAAATCTGCATTTACACAGTAACCCCTGTCTTTCCTCTGCGGGCAACAACAGTTTGTCGACTTAGGAACAAGTCAATTGGTCGTAATTTTAAATCATTTAAATCAATTTGCCAGAGGGTATCAATACAGGCTGGAAAGGCCCGCAGTCAATGTTTTAAAGGAATTAGTGTCAACACACAAGAAACCAAAAGATTTAAGTGTTTATTTAAATGTTCATTTCATTCCTGACTGAACCCAGTTTTCTAAAAAATGCCATAGATTATGGCTCAGTGATTAACCTTTTCGGGACTATTTTCGGATGCTAAAATACATTCCCCTGCCTATATTCTCTGCTGCTACGTGTATATATGCCCTGCATTTGAACTCTATATATTTATGAATGAGCTTTTTGTCTAAAACTCTGGCACCGTGAGGGTTCATATAATCTCGTAGTTGAAATCCCTCATAAAAAATTAAATAAATAAATTAATAAAATAACAAAAAACAAAATAAATACTGATTTATTGAGCTCGAAGGTGTTTTAAATAACACAGATTTTGAGTGTTATTATAACATTGTAACATAGGACAATATAATGACCTCAAAGAACATGTAACTTTGCAAACCAAGAGGAGATTTTTTTGTAATCTAATTTAAAAAAAATATCAAAGAAAATATTGCTAGTATACATTTTCATGTTGAACCAGCAAGGGGGTCATCATTTATTGGGTCTTTTTCCACTCACCGGTATTTAAGTTATTCAAACGCATTAGGCATTGCATCATCTTCAGTGAGGAACTGTCATAAGTACAATATGTGCTTTGTCTAAAATATATGATGATATGTGTATTTGTTCCAAAATTTGTATATAGGAGCTGTTCAAAAATAATTTAAAATAATTTTTTAATAATTATTAAATTAAAAATAATTTAAATGAATTAATGTGTTGTCCTTTGCTAAACATTGAAAATACACGGTCCCTAGCAGTTGTTTAGAGATCATTTCAAACTTACCTTACCTTAATAGGGTACATAATTATTAGAAATGATGGATTAAATTAATATTTAAATTATCAATTAACAATAAATATACTCATAGCATTCATTTTACAATTTAAATATTATCTGAATAACTATCGATTAACGGTCACTAATCTCTACACATTATTTTAATAATACATAAAATTATTATTTAATTTTATTAAGTAAAAAACTTCAAATATCTATCATCATTTATCTAATTTTTTGCTTTATTCTTAACTTTTTATATTGGATATATGCATAAATTTTTAATTTTAAATTTTGCATAAATTGGTAAAAGCCTGATGACTTATACAGAAAGAAATTGTTAAGTCCGATTTTCAGTGCATTTTTGTTCCAAAATCAATTTTTAAATGGTTGTCTAAGGATCGGAATAAAAAAATTAAATAAATAAACAAATAAAATAAAAATTGGAAGAGGCAAGATCGGGAGACTATTGAGGGCGATGGGGCATTTATCGCAAACTTTGTAATTTTAATTTTACTCTAGGTAAGTCAGCTGTGAGGCTGGCATTGTCATGGTGAAACACAATGTTGCAACTATTCACCAGGTTGAGATGTTTTTCCTTTAACGCTGACCCTAGATGCTGCACGAAACTGGCAATGGTACCTTACGAGGGTGCTGTCCTACTCTTGACGTCAATGGTGGCATTTCATTCTCCTTGAAAATGGTCCTTTGGCGTTTAACATATTTATAAAGGACCCACTTCTCATCTCCAGTGACCAAATAGGAAATAAACCCTTCCTATTTGTTCCTATTCAGGTATTAAATGCAACAAGCCATGCAGTCTTCCTCCTGAGGGACAAGTCATGGCCCAACAAATTAATACCCTTGGCTAGAGCTTCACAATATAGCACAGAGATTTTTATTATGCGATGCTCCTGAAAACTCCGATAGCTCTGCTATGGTTAATTTGTCATCATCCTCCAATGCCAGTATTAATTCATCACTTCTAAACTTGTTAGGCATTCTACTACGAGGCTGGTCCAATTTGTTTGCAAATTTGTTGTAAAAAAAAATGTTTGAACTTCTGACTAACATGTTTAGTTGTTATATTCTGACCATAAATTCCACATAAATTTGACCATAAATTCCACATAAATTTTAACAGGCAAGTTTCAAGTTTGAACTTTTATAGCAATCACTGCCAGATGAACTTTTTCTGCTTCCATTTTGTATAGGTCATATTTTATTCTAGACTGACTTTTGGGATCAACTACCCTTTCATAAAAAATGTCATTCAGTAGGGGTTTTTCGGATCCTAGAGTGTAGCAGGTCAGGTAATAATGAGTCGCTTTTTAAGGATAAAATTTGAAAAAAAAAAACTTATGCACACACCCAGCACAATAATGCAAAATTTTGTAAATATACTGCGATTATTTTATTTAATTTTTAGTGAGCAAAATTATTATATTCAAATGGTATATATTTTATTTGATAATTAAGGAAAAGGTTTACAACACAAGTTAATTTCTGTACAATAATTTTACTCACGACAGTAATTAATAACTTGATTTAGTGTCCTTGCTGTTAATGATTTGTTTGTTCAATGCTGTTAATGTTGTTATAGCTGATTTCTAGTGGTATGCGTCCCCAAATGACAGGTGAACTTCCATTGATGACCGAAAAATTCTTGTTGTGGTTGAGCTTGTATGCTAGGAAACAATTCTGATCTGGAGGTATTTCTCAATGTAACACGCAGTCATGACGTTTCCAGGTTCTGGGGAGTTAGGGTGCCAGTGTAAAAACCCAATCATAATGCAACGTATACAATCAACATTGTTTGATGAACTGGCAAGGTTAATCAATTCTCTCTTTGAGTGTGTCTCTTGTGTTCTACTATGCTAGAAGTGCTGTAGTGTAATAAACATTTGTTTGCTAATTTTTGTCTTTGCATCGTTCCTTGAGTTGACTGCAGATGAATTTTTTTTTGCCGTTGGAGTTCTTGAAGGAGAGTGTGAAGTGAGTCGCATTTCTCTTGTTTTGGATTGTCTGAATTGATATTGGCTACAGTTGTCATTTTACAGCTGGTTTCTTTCTGATGTGCATTTAGAAATGAATTGCGTCTTGCTTGAAGAATAATGTCTCTCATCCCCATGGCATTGTGACTGGAATCTATTGTCAGGACGTTTATCTGCAATTCTTATGAGAACTTGCTAAGCATGAGGACCAACCTTTGTGACAGGCCGACATCCCCAGCATTGAACCAGTAATTTCATGGTCTTTTCATTATTTAGTAATAAACTAATAGAAATCAGGTATATTAAAATAACCTGTGAACAAAACAAAATAATTCTTTAGATTTTTTTTTTAATTCATTCGTTTAGTGGTGAAAGTAATAAGACAACAATAAATTAATTTTCATATTAATTTTTCCATAATTTCTTTTTACCAATCTTCATTATCTAAAACTTACCCACCAAATGTGGATAAAAGTTCTTGGTTAGGAAAATTCGTGCTGACCAGGCACAGGGTCACTTACTGGGTCTGTCTCCACTTGTAGGTTTTTGAGTTATGCAAACGCGTATCCTCACTGAAGATGGCACAATGCTGAAATGGATTTGATTAACTCTAAAACCCTTGAGTGGAGACAGACCCAGTAAATGAACCTGGGCCAGTTCAGCATGAGTTTACCGACTCTCAGGCCAAAAACACTCCACCAACTCTTAAGAAAAATCTATTATTAGAAAACATCATTTTATCGTGCTGATAATTTGAAAAATAAGCAAAATGCATTAAGGCCAAGTATAAGGATGTCATTAATTGTAATTGCATCAACAATAATAAAATATATAATAAAACAGTTATTTTGGAATCTCGTTTTCTTGTGTTCAAAAAGAAAAAAATTGTGTAAATTTTGATTTTACAATGGAGAAAAAACTTGATTTGCATATTATGGTATAATTATGTGAATGATTTGTTGTATATACAGTTGTCTTAATTGCCTGTTGTATTTCTGTATTGTCCCATAACCCATTCAAGGCAGTCAGTGTGATATATCGTGCTCTTTGTCCCCCAGTTGAGGTATTCTGAGAGAGCACGATATCGCACTTGCACCCCAAGTGAGGTTCTGGGAGTGTGATACCGAGCTTTACTCTTTCACATTTAGATTTAAGTTCATAGAAGCAGTGTGCTATTGAAGTTATTATTTTTAGTGCTAGTGAGAGTGACTGTTTTAAGCAACATAATGTTTCTTTGAGGTTCAATCTTAAAAGTGAAGAGACTAGAGACGAAACCATACTTGCATTACCAATGGCAAGCTCTCAGTACCAAACTGGGGGAAGTAAAAGTGCAATTTCACACTCCCCGCCCTGAATGTGTTAAAGTCTATTTGATCATAATAAAATGAAAAATTGCTTTTTGGTTTGACACATGGTTTTTGCAGTTCTTATTATGAAGAATTTTATATGCATCACTTTATAACATTAACGCTTTATGCACACCATGGTTACTAAAAGAATGAACCATTGCACTGGCATGTAGAAAAGAAAAAAGGATAGTTTTGTATTATGCTTTTTTTTAAAAGCTTTTTAATGACGGTGGCTTATCAAACACTTAACTTTATTTGCTAATCATGTAAGGTGTTCCTTAATAAATTAAAAAACTAATTTTGTTCAAAAGCCAGCCTAATTTACTCAGGTTGCAAAATTTAATAAAGGATTATTTAGTTATGAATATATTTTAAACATGAAAATACTTAAGATGTACGTGTAAGTATAATTTCCCTTATTGTGAGGATAATATTATATGTGATGTAATAAAGTAAAAATGCAATATATTTTTAAAATTTATTTTCTTATTTTATCTATTAATTCATTTTTATTGTTAATTTAGAATTTTTTAAAAATCTTTATGATATTCCTATAAAATTGAGACATGGGGACAATTTCAATAACATTTTTAAAAAGGTATGGATTTATAGGGGAGCAACATATATGTCGCACAAAATTGAGAATACATTTTGAAAGGCGTCAGATATAAAAAAAAATTTATCTTTTCAGGAGACAAACACTAACAAAATGTTGAAAAAAGTAGTAGGGTCCCATTAAAAAAAATAAATAAATAAAAAAGTGATAAATTATTTTGCATTGTTGCTGCTATTCTATAAAATTATGCTCAATGAGTAGTATTTGGTTTTTTATTTGGAATATCCTATATTATGATTTAAAACGTTGTGAGTTTTTTAGTGTTTGATACAATTTCATCATTTTTATTTAATTTTGATTAAATTTATGAAACAAGTTAAAAAAAGTCTTGATTTCTATACTTATTTCTGTCATTTCTAGTTTTGCCAATTGCCAATTCAACATGCTACTGTATCTTGCAATATGTTCTACGATTTCTCTGCATATATGATGTGTTTGCAGTGGGTCATTTATTTTAAAATCATGTTGGAAAGCATGTCTAATAACTTCTATGCTGTGTTCTATGAAAACTTATAATTCATTTTTACTTTATTTTTTTATTTATTTATTTTTTTTTTTCCGGCTAACTACTTGGGTCATCGCCGGCGCCTCACATATAAACCTTCTCGCATCACTTACTTTATTTACTTACTTTATTTTATTTACTTTATTATACATACTTTTTTAGAGAGAATTTCAGTGCGTGCATAGAAGCAAATATTTCTTATGTTGTTATATTTCATGAATAATTAAATTTAAAAAAAAAAATTAACAAACTTTTCATTCTAGTAATTGCAGATGCTTTGAAATTGTTGTAGGGACTTAAATAACCCAATGACCCAATCTGATGAAGGGCAGCAAAACTGGTCTCCTGAGAAAAACGATCCCGAAACTACTACTGAAACTAAGTTAGTATAATATTAATACATTTTTCTGATTTATGTTGACATTTAGTGTTATTATAATTCAGTATCAAAAGCAATGTTATTAACAAACACAATGTTGTATGTTATATTGGTTCTACTTTTTTTCTTTTAGTGGACCGCCTGTTGAAGGTGAGGAAACTGCGACACTGCAAGAAGAGGAACGAAAAGAACTGACTCTTGATGAATGGAAAGCTCTCAAAGCCCCTAAGCAGAAACCAACCTACAACCTACGAAAAGCTGGTGAAGGCGAAGATCCCTCTCAATGGAAAAAAATGTACGCTCTACAGAAAAAGAAAGATGGTGATGATGAAGAAGAAGAAGAGGAATATGTAAGTAAAATGCAGGTGAATATCTGCTCTTGTTGAGTTACATGCCACTATATACTTGTAAGTTTCTCGTAATTTTTTTCCTCCTTCATTAAATGTGAAATTTTTAATAAGGAGACTGGATCATGTTGAGTTAATATGCTGTTCTTTTTTAAAAAAACTATAAAATTATTTCATTTCGATGGTTGGCAGAGAAAACTAAATGTTCTGTGGCATGTACAGGGTGTATTATATTACAGAAGTCACTACTCCAGGTTATCTCATCTCAAATTGACCTAAAAAGTCCCTATTGTCCAAAGTATGATTCTCAATTTAGTTATTTCACTTTTATGGTTACTTCTACCTTTCACAACTTTATTCCCTAAATGATTATTTAAAGATTGTGAGATGCGACATCTCACGATCTCCAAATAATCATTAATTAACAGTCATTAAATACTACACATTTATTTCATAAAATTCCCTGTATCTCATAAAATATTAGTCCTACTGTAAATCTGATTACATAAATGGAAAGAACATTACATAAAACACTATGAGTTTCTTTTTTTTTATTGTAACCTTAAGCAAAAAAAAAATATATATTTTACAAGTTTCCAAACTTCTTGTCTGAAGTGTAAGTATACTATCCTGGTTCTGTACATACTGATAGTGCATACAGAAAAGTTACCCCTAGTAATAAGGTACTTAATGTAGGATATACGTAATTTTTGAAAAGTTAGTCACCTTATAGTTATCACCAGTATAAACTTGACGTTTAATTGCTAAAAATTTTATCTTTTGGTTATAAACATCTGAAAAAAGTATACATCAGGATTTGGAAACTTATTAAATAAACTATAACTATTCAAAAATAATGAAAGCAATACATAAAAAAGTACAAAATTGAACATACAAAAAAAAAAAATTAATAAAAATTAAATTAAATGTTCAAAATGTGTTCCTTCTAAATTAATGCAAGCCTGACATAGTTTCTTAACAGATGTTTTAGAAAATTTTTATTTTTTTCAATTTTTGTACAATAACTTAAGAAACTCTAAAAATTTTGTATTTTATTTGCTTAAAATGACAATTAAAAAACAACAACAAAAAAACAGGGTTTTCAATGCTCTTTCCATTGGTGTAATCAATGAAGAAGGATAAAATTTTTATGGGATATGAGTGTCTGAATAGAATAAAGTTGTGTGTGAAAGGTTGAAATGACATGAAAAGTGAAATATCTTGAATAAAATTAATAATCAGACTTTGGGCAATTAGCACTTCTTAGTCCAATTTGACATTCATGGATAATCTCCTGAATTATTGACGTTTGTTCACTCTGTACATTTCTTTATTTTGAACATTTGCAGCTAATTGGCTCATTCTCAGCAGCCCAAATTCATTCCTCAATGAATGAATGAGCAAGTCTACAGACGGTTTGACATACACTTCAACTATGGATTTTAATTAATTCTTCAATTCAAAACTTGATATCATGCTGTAATGGGTTGAAACTTTTTTTAAATTAATTTTTTTATTTTTTAAAGCAAAGTCATTCTCATTACTGTGAGCCCAGCATTCTTTCCAAGCTTATTCCCATCCACAGTAGAATTTTTAATTATTTATGAAATATATAGCAAGCAGTACTATTTTATCAATATAGAAGCACAATTTTTCATAATACTTTGATTATAGGAATATGAAAGTTGTGAATATCCGCAACGTGTTGGGAGGCAAAAGCATATCTTGGACATTGATATTCACTTCAAGGATACCAGGGGGGGAGTACGCGGACGTGGAAACAGAGGCACTGGCAGGGGCGGTCCAAGAATGGGAATGCGTGGAAACAATGTTAATCCAAATCTTCCTGAAAAACATACTTCATCCGTAAGTGATTTTTTAAATATATTTTTTAACACTTTTATATTAGAAACAATTTGTCAGATTTGATGCATGATAAATAATAACGATTAAGTATAAATATACGGAGTCTATATTTTTAAAATACAATGAAGTAGAAATGATAACAAGCACGATTTGTTTGTTTTGTTTTTTCAGGGACGAGAGAACACACAAAAGCTTGCTCCTAAAGTTGACGATGAACATGATTTCCCATCTTTAGGTTGACTTGTGCGCTAGTCTAAGTGGTATTTAAAGACAAGTTGGAAAAAAAGGAAAAATATCAGTAATGTTAACCTCTACTAGTTTGGAAAGAAAAATAGAATGTAATTTGCCTAAAATTTATTGTCTAAAAAGTAAATACATACAAAATTATTGTGAAAATGGAAATTTAAAATCTTAGGTATACTGGAATATAAAAAAATAATAAAAACATAATAAAAAATGAAATCGGTATACTCTGTCCATCTAAACGTTATTGAATGCTAAGAAAATAGAGTATGAAAAAGCCATTAGGTTTTTATACTCTCATAGTATGTACGTATATTATATTTGTTAGGGTATATATGCATAAATTATGAGTTCAAATTATTCACAACATTACATTTCAGAGATGCTCATTAATGTAAAATTAATTTGTAGATAAGAAAACAAAAATCTCGGTGTTAGAACTATGCCAGACATTATGTATACAAAAACATTGATTATTATTATGTTCCTTTTTTTTTCTTCAAAATATTCAGAAATATTACAACTGATTGTACAAAATTTAAAAAGGTCTGGAACATAGCGTTAGTTACATGTATTTATGTACCCAATTTCCTTCTTAAATACAGCCAGTAGATTATTGGGAAATAATAAAACGAAACACATTTGTTAATGATGTATTAAAACTTTTACAGTGAGGTGTTTTTAGAAAGCCTTAAGTGGATTTTTCATTTTATTTTTTATTTTTATTATTTTTATTTTTGTTTTAACAAAGCCTGGGTTTTCATAAAATCAGGAAACTCAAATTGAAAACCCTATTTGTAAATAGTTTTGAACGTGGAAATACCCTATTTTTTCATTAATTTTTCCTTGTAAATTTCCATTAAAATTGTAAGTTTTGTTTTTATTTTTTACTTTCTTGAATTGATATTTACTATCAATTGTGTGCTAGCTAGCATAGTACAGTGACAATTTTAATTTTTCACGATTTTGATTTTGGTGATTGAAATTAAATATTTTGTTTCATAGGCTAATTGTATTGTGAATTGCAGGAGTTCAATTAAAAACAGTTGACTGATTAAATGTATTTTCTGTTGTTTTTGTACACTTGGAGAGATTTAAAAAAAAATCAGATCAAATTTCACTCAGTATCATTCACTGTCCACTGGATGGATAGTGAAAATAGACATTTAGTTTTTTAAGTAGACAGTCGTTAAGACTGACTATGATTCACTGCCTTTCAATTTTTTTAAAATTCCACTCATAATTTAAACAATTTTAAATTGTTATGTGAACTGTGTCATGATTGAAGATTAATTGAACTTGTGAACAAAATTAAATTTTGAATCTGATTTGTTTGTTGTTGTTTGGTTTATTGGAATCTTTTAACTGCTAGTGATTATCTCCGTGGCATAAACTTTTTTTTTAAATTAGAACATTTTTTTTTAAACGTTATTAATTGAATTTTTTTAAAGTGTCAGACTATTAAATAGTACCCCTTAGTGGAGGTAATTAAAGAAACAAAATGTCCTAATGTTTTTGTTACTTAATGTGGCTGATTGAAACCATTTTATGTAATAACGGATATTTTCGAGCTTAGAGCTTCTACAAGATTTCTCTGTATGTTCTTATTGAATTCTCTTATTTTTCCCATCATAAGATAACAAAATACTTTTACTTGTATTTGTAATAATCTATGTCATTTTCAAAAATTAAGGTTATATTTTGATATATACATTAATTATTACATATAAAGTAATTTTTATTTTGGGCAAACTAGTTCAAAATTGTATATTGTTCTACATCTTGATGTAATTAAAAATAAATTGTTTATCAAAATTACTTTTACTTAATTTAATTGTTCCAATAGAATTTATCCACAAAAAGCAAGGCCACAGTTTGTGCCGTAAAATTTACAGTAGCAACTCGGCGATGCTCAAAGCCAGGCTTCTGAGAAAATTGAATAAAAATTAAGACATGCTCCTTTTAAACCTTAATTTTTATCAAATATAATGCTTTGTAGAATACTGGGGACGTATAAGGTTAACCGTCCCACGTTATTTTCTGCCAAAACAGTTTTTCATTTGATTTTTCATTCAGGGTCTGCTGACGGATATCCAAGCTGTGTATGATTTATAGCTTTCTTAATATAAAATTCATAGTTTTTCTTAAAGCATTATATATTAAAAGAAAAATAACAATTCCTTTTTGTTCAAAATTTTCAAATAAAATTACATTGTGTTCAGAAAATCCTAATAGAGGAATATACTGGAGGGTAGTTTAAAAAAACAAGTAGACAATACAAACGAGAGAAAAAAAAACATTTTCTGGGTCTTAAAAGACCTGCAACAATCTGGTGAGTATTGTAGTTTGAAATAAACAACAAAATACTAGTGTCCAATTTTATTTGTGTCTGAGTATATTAGTTTCAGAAGGGTTCTTGTAGGGTGAGAAAAAAAGTACTTTAAAGTACTGAATTTTCAAAACGTAGGGGATATATTATGCCCCACTATCTATCTAAACAGACAAAGTGTGGAAACTACTCTGCTGAGCTGCCTTGCTGATTTTTCTATTTGGGATGATGATGGTGATCAGACACTAGAAAGTGGGGTTTGTGCTCCCCAGGCACTACAGCCGTCTGGCTTATTCCTAGTTCCTAAGTTCATGTATGCTAGGTTAAATTTCCATTAAGCTATCTTTGCATTCGAAGATGATATGGGTGGCTGTTCCTTACTCCTCATCACAAAATCTGCAAATGGGATCATTGTTATATATGCCCATATTTTCTCTGATGCCAGTGACCGGGTAATAGTCATTTCACTCCTCCAATTGTAGCAGTTCTGTGTGGAGCCTCCAACTTTGGATTTTTTGATAAGTACTTACAAATTACTCATTGAACAATTCTATGCTAAACCTGCAACAGGCGCAAAACGATACTGTGCACGATATTTTTTTATTTTTATTGTATTTTATTTGAACTTTTATTCTGATTGGGCCAAAAGTGGTTATTCATTCTCTACGTTTTCAAGTACTGGGAGTGGCAAGTGCCAGTATTTACTTTTCTTTATCCCATTTGTTATGGAGTCGTTAATGACAAAATTGAGGTTTTCAGAACTGTGTACCACTTTCGCCTCTTAATGTAAGTATAATAATTTTTATTATTTTGCGATATGTGATCACATTTTAATATTTATCTAGTTATAGATATTGTTTTAGTTTTATTTTATGTTTGTAATTTGTTTTTTACTTTTTAGGTCTGAAAATTTGTATAAAAAATTTGAAAAATCTTGGTGGTCCTCCGACAACTCTCTTCTTATGATACATTATGGATCAGTATTTCCACTGCCTTGCTCCATATAACTTGAGCAATAAGTACATATAAAAACTTTACCAGCTCCCAGAGTTATGCGGGATTTACATACTGAGTTTAATATATTTTTGTCTTTTATTATTACGAAGATGATTGATGATATAGTGCTTTACACTGTTGTGACAATATAGGAGAGCACAGTGACAGCTCTAGCCGCTTCCTCGTCAAGAGGGCAAAGAGGTGGGGTCCTGAGAACTAAGACACTGAGGTTTAGGTGTCGGCCAGAACCCGGGCATAGAGGGAAAAAATTTACCGATTGGTCTAACATTTCTCAACTAATAAAGAAGAGGTATTTAATTTTGAGGCACAGTTCATTCAGTCAGTCTTAATTATATTGAGTTGTAAAATTTTATATTCTCTATTTATTTTCCATTATTTTATTTTTATTAATTAGAAGTTATTTTGTTTGTTTAGTTTACCTTCCTTTTTATTCAACTTTTTTTAATCATTCCTTGCAATAGCTTCTACTGTAATAGTAGCCTGAAATACTGAGGCTACCAACACTAACAATTTACATTTATATCAATAAAGCAAACGTTTGTAGATAAAGAGAAACAAAACTTACATAAAAAAATGAGGTAATGGTTGCCTCAGGACCCCACCTCTTTGCCTTCTTGACGAGGCAACGGCTAGAGCTGTCCCTGTGCTCTCTTATATTGCCACAACAGTGTAAAGAACTATGTCACTTTGACAATATTTACTGACAATAAAAAAATGAAACAAACAGACGTAAAGGAAATTTGAATAATGATGGTTCCAGTCTGCTAATTTTTATATCATTTGTTTAAATAAGTATTTAACTTCCTAAACACAAGTCTTTTATATTATAAACGTTTATGCTTATATTTTTCATTCTAATTGTTCCTGTGGTGGTATATTATTATCAATAAAATGTTGTTAAGGTAACTTTCTATTTTAGAACTCTTTTGGTCATAATAAAAAAAAATATATATAAAAAAAGTTGGGGTCTGACTAAACTGAAAAATGTCCCTATGTACACAGTGGTTGTTAGACCAATGATAGCCTACGGATCGGTGGTTTAGTGGATAATGTCAGCTAAGAGTGGTGTGCTGCTCAGAGATGTGTCTGCATCACTGGGGCTTTCCCCACTATACAGGGTGTCCCAGTTCCTTCTGACGAAACTCAGGGAATTGATTCTACTATTCGTTTGGAGCAAAAAAAAAAAAAAATGCTTAGGAGAAAATTTTCGGATAGTTCTCTATTTTGAAGATATTTGTCAATTTAGGTTTTTTCAACTTTTCACTACCTTACCACATAAAAACGTTTACAACTTCCAAAATGTTGAGACTACAACAAATCCAATTACACCATTTGAAAGAACGTTAAATTTGCTGTAAGATACTTCTTTGCAATAATCTGAATGACATAAAATGTTNTTCATACTCACAAAAACCATACCAGAAAGCTTCATACTCACAAAAACCATACCAGAAAGCTTCATACTCACAAAAACCATACCAGAAAGCTTCATTCAATAAAATGCAATTGTTCTTCTTGTAGCAAGCACCTAACAACAAAGGAGGAACTTTTCAGAGGAAATGCTCAAAGTGTTTTCCCTCTTCTCGAATGCATAACTGACTTTCTGAATTTCTACCCCCCTACTTTGATGGGTGAGGGGGAGCTTAAGGCAGGGTTCTGGGGATGCCATGACCCCTAAATTCAGATTTAACAAAAAAAATTCAAATTAAAGTACCTGTTTGAGCAGACTGGGAGAAAGGGATCCTAGGTAATGCCTACCATATCTGGAATACAAACGGCTCCAAAAGTGAATATGGGTCAGGAGCTGGTATTTACGGAAAAAAAAACAAGTACTATCATTCATATAACCCTTGGATGATATACCACTGTCTTTCAAGCAGATACTGTGGTACTGAACACTGCCAAGGAGATTAAAAGGCTACATATAGTTAATAGAAGAATAGTCATCTACTTGATAGCCACTTAGGGCAATTACCGCATTGGTGGTGAAGTCCAGTCATTTGGAATAGCATTAGGGCCCTATCAGACATTGGGGAATACAACAAAATTACCCTTGTCTGGGTACGAGGGGATAGGGGCAATGAAGAGGCCCATAAATTGGCCAAAGAAAGTTCAATGAGGACAGCTATTGACCCTGAAGCCCTTTGTGGAAACCAAACTGCTAAACACATGGATCCCATCAAGCAATGGATTAAAAATAAGTTCTCTGTTCAATGGAAATGTAGACCAGGACAGAGACATGCAAAAAGTATATCAAAGGACCACAGAAATCTAGGGATGTATTACAACTAGAATAATAGTTTATTTCAGCTAACTGCAGACTCCTAAGTCACATCACATGTATAGACTTAGAGTTTGCAGAAGTAAACCTGTACACACATTGCCAGGAAGATGACAGTGGCGGAGATTCCTTGGAGAGGAAAAGCCCAGGCCTGAGGGATTCACACGGGAGTCCTTGAAAAAACTTAGGGATCTGGTAAAAAGCCTTAAGCTAAATAAGGAGCTCTAGACAACAATGAAGATGCACAATAGACCAATAATATTCAGGTTGTAAAGAGGCTGGCTCCTACTAAAATAATAATAATACTATAATAATGAATGTATATTACCGCTAAGCCTTACTGTCAAAATAAGTAAATGGAATGGCTATTTTTTTCTCTTTAGGTCGGTTTTGTAGACATTTATTATTTCATTTCATAATAATAATAGAAGCAAACTACTAACCACTTGAAACATAAATAATAATATAATATATTTTTTAAAGAGATTCATTTGATTTTTGACCTGTTTGAATGTTAAACAATATTTTTGCAGGGTGTTATTTGATCCGATTGGTCCTGACAGGTTTCTTTGTGGGCCATATTGGTGTATAGATTGACCTACCGCTGAAGATGGCAAAACATTTATGCCTGATAAAAACAGTGATAGATGGTGAATCAGGATGATTGACGATGATAAAGCAAAAGTTTCATCACCTCCAGATGGCACAGAATAATCTCATAAATTTTACATCACGAGAGGCTAAAATAACGGCAGTACTCTCGTCACTCTCACACTTCCATTTTAATATTGTCTAATAAATTCAGAATTATCCCATACTTCACTGTACAATTTGGTTTCCTGTCTTTTAGGTTGATAGTTTGTTTACATTAGTACGTGTATAGGATGGGAGGTCGGTAAAATAAAGTACAGAGCTGGTGTGAATGTGTTGTAAGTTTTACAAACTGCAACTGCATTTTTAAAATTGTTTTTACGTGACTATTAAAAGCAGTTTATTTTGGGTTATTATTAATGTGGATCTATTAATTTAATTCTGGCCAAAGAAGCCGCCAGAAGACCCAACGACGCTTCTCAACCAGTACACCTAGCAGAGTTAGAACTATTAATTTCAAATACTATAACAGGCTGCTGGGCTCATAAAAATAGAAATAACCCTGTCAGGCTGTGGCAGGTTAAGAAAGACATCGGT